AGTCCCACTCGTTGATCTGAACTAGATACCTTTCAGAGCACACCAGTAAGGTCTACACAGGACAGTTTGCATGTAGTACATTAGAACACTTTACAAATCTCACCCCTCTAGTGCGCTTTGCTGGTGCCATGTAGACAAGCCGTTAGTGTAATCTCCTGCATGACAGAGGCCATAGAACCTCACCCAGTAATTCCCGAATCAAGCCATGACTTCTATTTGAGCAACAGCATCTCTTTGAGAAGGATATTCCATCTTAATTTAAAGATTTCAAGTGATGGAGAATGAGAATCCACCATGTTCTGAGATAAGTTGTTCCAATTGTTAATGACCATTATTAAAAATGAGCATCTTATAATAATCAACTTCAATAGAACGGTTTCAGAGTAGCAGCCGTGTTAGTCTGTATCCACAAAAAGAACAGGAGTACTTGTGGCACCTTAGAGACTAACAAATTTATTAGAGCATAAGCTTTCGTGGGCTACAACGATGCATCCGAAGAAGTGGGTTGTAGCCCACGAAAGCTTATGCTCTAATAAATTTGTTAGTCTCTAAGGTGCCACAAGTACTCCTGTTCTTTTTTCAATAGAACGATTATTGTTACTTTGATTATTATTTATATAGTTCCACAGGTACAGATGGCAGAGGTCAAGACCTCAGTATTATGATTCCTCTGAAATGGGGATTGAGGCCATTTTCTAAATGAAGATATACAGTATTTGCTGTATATTTTTACAGTGTCTAAACTTTCCAGTTCACATTTCAGAGCTTTTTTTTCAGATCCAAAAACAACATGTATGGGAGGAGGACTGCTCTCCCCAGAAACCTCCAAAGGAAAATAGAAGATAAATCAGTAGGATTCAGACCAACATCTTTAAAAATAGCGAGCTCACAAAGCCAATAGATCTAAACAAGTTGGAATGTCTTTCACGTTAGCATCTTCTTTGTGTGGGTCCCTCAAGCCATGTGTCTCTACACAGAGGGTGGGAGCTTTGCCACTGACTTAAATGGGCCAAGGATTTCATCCCGAGTGAAGTTTTTGTATAGTGTGTTGAAGAATGTTTACTGTACAGGACAAAAGTAGAGAACTGGTTTACTTTGTAGAGGGTAATAAACTAATTTTGGTATAGTAGATCTCACAGGTCCTGATTCAAGCATTTACAGAGGTTTTTATTTGCTATAATATTACTCATGCCTGTTGTTTCTATTTTCCTTTCAATTCCATGTACAGTACAGAGTACCTACTTTTCTCATATAAAACATTTTCTCAAATGGAGAAAAAAGTGTTTTTAAAAAAATACAGGTTTTACAAAAAAACCTGTTGTTTTAACATTGTATATATTCTTTTTCTTTCTTTTTATAATGAAGTGGGTTCATAATCCAATTTCAAATGCAAGCTTTTTGCTACATAGCATATAGTAAATGATGAAGTATTTGTAGTCTAGAGATAGTCAATATCACTACTTTTATGAATCACAGAATATCAGCGTTGGAAGGGACCTCAGGAGGTCATCTAGTCCAACCCCCTGCTCAAAGCAGGACCAATCCTGGTGGCTTCTAGGATAAAATCCAAGAAAAAGAAAAATTATTAAAAAAAAATTAAAAGTATTAAGGACCAGGGCCCAGATTCAGGAAGTTACTCAAGCAGGAGTTGGGGCTTTAAGGAAAACAACACACATTATGAGACTCAGCAACTCTGCTAAAGTTAGGCACATATTTCCTGAATAAGGGTCTAGGCCTATAAGATGTGAAGGTCATTAATTATTATTACTTTAGATTATAGTGCTGCCTAAAGTCTTCAGCTGAGATCCAGGTCCCAAGTGCTGGGCAAACACATAGTGAGAGACAATATCTGCCCTGAAGAGCTTACAATTAAAAAAAACAAAACCGACAAAGGATGTGAGGAGACAGAGGCATAGAGAAATGAAGTCACTTATCTAAGGACACACAGCAGGTCAGTGACAGAGCCAGGATTAGACCCCAGTTCTTCTTTCCCTTAGTCCAGTGCCCTGGACACTACACCACACTACCTCCTCTGCTAAAATTTACTGTTTAATTAATCTACAGTCAGAGACAATGAAAATTCCTGTTCAGGCTACTGGAGTAACAGCTGTGTCAGTATTTCTACTCAACACCTCCCGCCCCCTCTCAGGAGCTTAAAGTGTAGCTGTACAAAATTTGCTCCAAGGCTGAAGCTTGACATATGAGAAGAATGAAACTTACTCTCAACCAGGAGAGATTTGTTTTCGAAAAGATTTGAAATAAATGAGTGTGGCTGAAGGGGTGTGATCAAATACAAGTTTTAGAGAGTTGTTGGCACTGCTGAAACTCAAAAATCTCTGTGGCTGTTTTAGCCCAAAATGATGCATACCGTTCATTTCCCCTAACATTCAATTATGCCCGGATAATCCCCAGGCATAATGGCCAGAGTTAAAGAAAGGAGAAAGTATGTTGACTTTAGCTTTGAATTTCCTTGCTTTGAGAAGATTGTGTCAACCTTAATGTTACTTAAAAATTGTTTCTAGTGTCGAGTTAATATATAAATGTTCCAAGTGCAAATTGATCTTCCCCTAGACTGGCTGACATGTTGCTAACACTTTGAAGTAGCTTTGCATGTATTTGTAAAAGAGGTTTCTATGAAGAGATAGTGGATTGTTTTCAAAGGGGGAGCCTCTCCCCGATTTCTTCTGGATTTAATCCCATGGGGGCACCTGGAGGGAGGTTTCACTGAGGTCACAGTGGGACAAATCTCAACACCTGAATCTGATTTCACTTACACCAGGGTAACTCCACTAACTGGAGTTGGATAGTAGTTGAATCCATTATTTACAGATCACAGATTCATTACATATTGGTGCCTGAGCAGTGCTGTTATCTGCAGCACATGAAGTCATTATGCTGCATATGTTGCAGAGTTTACTCAAGTGCTACCAGCTGTGCCAAGAACCTGAGCTGTGGAGTGCAGCTGCAGCTTTTCTGAGATCTGCCCACAAGCTCTCTGATCATTTACTGTTGGTCAGTCTGAGAAGAGAAACCACTGATGCCTTCCCATCACAAAGAGGCCTCACTCTAATTCTCCTGGAAGATAAGCACCACACATGAGGAGCTGATATCTCTTCAAGGCCCCAGACTAAAATCCCCCAAATATCCAGAAAATGGTTCTGTGTTTAGAAGAAGTTAATGAAAGAAGTACTGTACTCTGTTAGGTCCCAGTACTGCTTTGGGATCTGCTAGCATTAGGGGCCCCTGACAGCAGATCCAGATGCAGGATCAAGACTTCAGTCTTTAAAGCATTAGTGTATGGAAACGTGAAGAGATGATTCTGAGGTGAAATGGTGAGTTATGCACCACTCCTCAGCATAAAGGTGCTGCAGTGCAGCACTGTGAAGGCTAAATTCTCCTCACCCTACTCCCACAATTAGTGCCATTGATGTCAAGGGCCCTATTTTAGCAGAATTTGACTTTGGGTCTATAGGTCTGATTCACCAAAACACTTGAGTACACACTTAGCTTTAAGGATATGCTTATGTCTATTCCTGTTCAGCAAAGCACTTATCCATGCTCTTAACAGTAAGCATAAGGCTAAGTCACATTGAAATCAACAGGATTTAGGCAAATGGTTAAAGTTAAGCATGTGCTCAAGCGCTTTGCTGAATCAGAACATTTATCAGGAATAACAGAGGTGAACAATACAGAAATGCAGAATAAGTCAGTGTAAATCAAAGAAGTGAAAATGTATTTTCCAGCATCCAACAAGGTATTCACCTAGTTTCAGTGGCTTTTGGGACATATACAGATCACACCAACATCTTGTTTAGGTTATTGGTGGAACAAGAAAGTAATAACATGTTTACCTTAAAGGCATGTTTCAATAACATATTATCTTGGGGGCTTTTAAAGGTTATTCATTTACAATTCATTCCTATTTCTGAGTTCAGCTCTCAAAGACATCTACATTGGAGCTCATTGGTGAGCCTGACAATCACAGATACAAGTCTTGTAATTGCAAGAACACTTTCTACTCAGTGCCACTGGCAGCATGATAAAAACACTGATGAGCACATATACCATAGGTGATCCTGGAAAGTTCATTATTTTGCAAGTTTACATAGGTTTCAAAACCAAACAGGTGCAAAGGCATAAATACTCTTGGTGGATATGAAAAACTCAACTATGTTAAACGGAATAAATTATTGTTATTAACAATACATCACTGTTGAATCAGTGCTCCTGCACAAAGACTTCTGGGCAACTGGAAATATGGCCAAAGATCACAGTTGGAGGAATTAGGGCAACATACCCAAGTCAATCTTCATAGCAGTAATGGAGCCCCTAAACAGCCAAATCCTCGGATTGTTCAATAAATAAAACAATAAGACACACACACAGAGCAACATACAACATTAAAATGGAATCCAATGAGCCTCAAGGGTGCCACAGATGTGTTCCACCATATGTCGAGAAGGAATGGATTCCAGAATCACAATATCTGGAAGGAGAAGGCCTCCCTGCCTCTCATGATTACACAGTGGAAGGGGGGGGGGGGGGCAGCTTGCATTTCAGTGTTGTTATATTAATTGCTGTGTGTGCACCCATGGTCCCTCCAAGAGACTAGTTTTTGGCACTAATATGGCAATTACAGAAGATAACCAACTATCTGGTAATTCACAATCTGGCTCACTCTGGGACAGTGCTAATAAGAAAAATGTTGCTCTAAGCTGTGATTTTTCATAGCCTACTCAACTTCTAAGTTTTAACACCCAGGGCAGATGCTGCAGCTCAGAACCAGCAACAAGAGGGGCAAACTACACACCACAGCAATACTGAGGAGAAGCACAAGAATAGCCAGATTTTTAATATCTCAGCAAAGGGATTCTCAAGTGTAATACAGCTAAAGAACCTCCATAAAGGGTTAGTCTCTTTATCTCTCTTTCTATTCTGCTTTTACCCTAAATTCTCCTGGGAAGAGTTAGCTGCAGTGCATATTCTGGGGTAGATCCTACCTTGTCACTGTCCACTGTGTTCTGTGAGGTCCTGGATGCAATGGAAATGGTATCCGGCTGACTGCTCCCATCTCCTTGGCTGTCTGCATCATCTACTCCATCTCTGCAAGGAGACAACGAGAAAACACCCCTGTTTACTTAAAGCACCAGCCTTGGGAAGTGCAAAAATTCATAGGTGGATTTGAGAACTGCCAATTCAGCACATTAGGGCAGGATTTGTGCTAAGATTACCCAACTGATGGAGCTCATATTATTACACACTGTGTAATTTAAAATGATGTCACCTCAGCTGTAGGGTTAGAATTCTGCATATAATCACCACGTTTATTGCTGGAATAGGAATGGCCTTTGTGTCCATATTTACAGCAACGAAGGCCCTTGCTCCTAGAAATAGTTCTCTAATGAGGGTGGTAAGGCAGATATTCCACTCCAGTTAGATTTCTCACTTAACTAAAACCAGCCATCCAAATTATAGCATTGCTCTTCGCGACACTGAAGTGAAGGGGCATTTCTGCAGTCTCACTGTAATCCACATTTTGGGGGGTTTAAAACTAGTATAATAATGACAGGATTGTAAAACTAAAACAATAAATGAATATATATATATAACCTCATCAGTCTGCTGGCATAGGGTATTTTCTTCCCTCTTGAAATTATTTTCTTTTGAACCTCTCTCTCCCTCTTTTTAAGAATTTCTTTACTGAAATTAGTATACAAGGAATACAAGCAGCCTGTTACGTCTGGCAGGACTTTGATGTTGCAAACAAAGGTCTCACTCTTTCATTGGGATCTATGAGAGCAAACCCATCCATAAGCCAACGAAAAACCATGAGGGCAAGGATGCTCCACTGTTTAGGGGGTAGCCTGTGGTTCAATTTCCTGCTCTGCCACAGATTTTCTGTGAAACCGTAGGCAAGTCATTTGGGTCCAGATTTTTAAAGGTATTTGGGTGTTGCTCCACTCAACATTGCAGAAGTGACTTAGACACTGAGAAGCCTAAGTCCCACTGACTTTCAATGACTCTTACGCTACTAAGTGTCTAATTCACTTTTGAAAATGAGGCTTAGGCTCCTAAATCAGTTAGATGTTGCAACACTAAGTGGCGCAACACTTAAGCACCTTTAAAAATCTGGGTCTTAGTCTCTCTGTGCCTGAGTTCTCCATCTGTAAAATGGGGATCAAAGCATTGGCCTACTTCTCAGGGGTGTTATGAAAATAAATACATTTAAGATTGAGAGTTGCTCAAATGGGGGCCCTATAAGTACTTCAGATAGACAGACTGACTGTGCATGGGCTCATGGGGTCTGTTCTAATGGATCCCAATGCAAAATTGGAGCCTTAGTTAACACAGCGAAAGGAACAATCCATTTTATATCATTTTTTCTAACCAAGTACTTCACAAAAGTCCTGTTATTATTTCTTATTATCTGTCATTGATGGTAACACTGAAATTCTGAAGTCCATTCATATACTGTCAGGACCACTTATTATTTTTATTGTCACATGATACATAAAATCGAACAAGGAAAAAGAATATGCAGCCGCTTGTTTGTTAGGAAAAAATAGACTTCTCTTCAGGTGGGGTCAACAAGAGAAATATCCTTGGATTCAATGGATAATTTTCATTCTGGTCCAGCAGTTAATTCATTATATGTTATACATCTCTCTAGTGGTTTGGCAGGGCTGAATATTTTTAATTTGAAAATGTCTGATTGGTTTCCACAGAAAAGGTTTTCGTTACATTTTTTCCTCCATTTCACGGTCGAAAAAAGCAAAGTTTGTCTGTGAAAACTGTGGTAAAAATTCTAAATTAATCCTGTAAAAAGCTAACTGACACTTTCCTGGTATGATACAGTAAAGTTCCACTGATTTCATGGATTTACACAATGTGAGGATCTGGCCCATGATTTTTTGTTTAGGACAGCTTGACCAATCATATTTTTTTTTTTGCTCAAACAGTTGAAGCTATTTTTAGAATTTCTATTCAATGAACTAAGCTGAGCAAACCTGCACTGCTGAAGGAAACAGCTCCAACAGAGAATCAAGTTCCAAACAGGAGGGTTGTTTATGGAATCACTGAGGTTACCTTTTACTGTTATTTCTCTGCTTTGCTGGTGTCTTGGGGAGCTGGATTGGCTCCTTCAAAGCTCCTTTCAAATGGATAATCCTCTCCTGAATGACTTCCCGGATATTTTTGATCCATTCCTGTTTTGTTTCAATACTGGATGCCTGAAGTTCCAAAAGGCAAAACGATAGGCACATTATAATATTCTTGGCATGTCTCCTATGTAGAAGAGTCATGATTTGTTTATGTTAACACACGATTGACTGTTTCATTGTTGGTTCTCCACTCCATTGTCACAGCAGCTGGAATACCTGGTCAACCCAGCAGAATTGGAAGCGTATTTTTGCCATACCTACCTAATAAGTTCAACAAGCAACATGAGAGCAGTTAATCTCTGGATGTATATTTAATACCAGAAATACAAAATGCTCTATGGTGAGGAAACAGGTTATCAGTGCACAGCTGGTATTTCTCAAACAAAATATCTAGTGTGAGTTCTTTTTTAAGAATTCAATCAGCGAAATGATTGTCAGCTCTGTGGGTCTGAAGGAAAGCACTATTGTCAACGAATCCAGGGCAATCAACTGAAGCAATTACAGTCCCCAATGTAAATACAAATCCAAACTCAGAATCACCCTGAGTTAGATTCTGCAGCGGCCCAACACACAGACTCTAATAGGAAGAGGACTGCAGTGGGCTGACCAGCTGCATAATTGACCCCCTTGAGCCAGGTTATATATTAGAACCAAATTCTGCCCCAAGATGCAGGCAGAATTGACCGTGACTCCAATGGGAACTACATGCATGCTTCCAGGGGAAAAAATCTGACCTTTCACTTAGCACTCCCAGTGCCCAGTTGGGAATTTAATGTTTTGCAGGTAAAGAAATCCAGCTCAAAAGACTCACTTTCAGCACTGTTTTGTTGTCTGAGGATGGTGTCCGTCCGGACCACAAGGCAAACTTACAGGGATCTCCTTCGACGTGCTCTGTCACTCCCAGTTCTGAGGTCTAGTGAGAAGGAGAGATGATTGGAGACCATACATTATGAATGGAGCCTCCTGGTTTCAAGAAGTTTTACACTGGGGTGGGAGCTCAGCTCCTCTGGCATGTTGTACACTGATAAAATAAACTGAAAACAAAGCCATAAGCAAGGGATGGCAAGTGAGAGGTGTTTGATCAGTTCAGATGAACCCCATTGCCACTACCCCAACCACCATGCACACTGTCATCTTTAATCTTTCCGGAAACACTCTGAGCTTTGCTTTTCAGATATAGCAGGGCTCAGTGAGCCCCGACGAGGTCTGAGCATAGGGTTCCAGAATGCATAAGTATTCCAAACTCAATGCAGAGACAAATAAGCCTTCCCTTCCATCTCTACCTACAAAAAAACTCAACCCCAGAATATCTCATTCTGGTAGACCTACCAGTAGTTTGTTCTTGTAAACATATTTAGTGTGTCCTGAAGAATCTTTGATCTCTTTGCTAAAAACCAAAGAGATTTCAAAGAGAAACAAGTGTCTCTCGCGGCCTTTCCGAATGAGAGACTTGGGATCCCACACTTGAAAGGAATCCTGAAGGATGAGCTCTCCCTGAACATCCAGGTTTTCATCAAAGCCTAAATGAAACACAACAGAACATTTTATCCAGTTTTGTTCCTGGAACCAATATCCCCAATGATCAACAAAGCAGGGTTTTCACTGTTCAGAGGATTACGGTGTTAGGAAAGAATAGGAACATAGAGTCACATGCTTTATTATGCAACTAATTCTTGAATGGATATTAATGGAAAGGCACTGTCACAGTCAGAACATTGTTCACTTTATTCTCTGTTGCTTTGGATTTAATTGTTTCTGTGATACCTAGTATGTCATATATATTGGGTGAAATGTACCTATATTGCTGTTCTATATGTACCTTTAGTGCTTTCCATTGCAATTGTGCGTGATATTATTAATTAGGCAAGGGGAAACACTGTAAAGATTTTAATGGTGACAACTCTATATAGGGCAGCAATATATCGACTACTGTGCATTTTAATACTTGTAAATTACATAGTAAAGACTTTAAGGATGAACCCTGTACCATGTGGCAATTCAGAGCATTTTAGCTTAGCTTATCATAATATGGTCATTGTAACCAAAGGTAGGCAAACCCCAGTGGACCTTTCTGATCTCACACCAATGTGGTTCGAGAGTAATTCCACTGGAGACGATGGAGCTATATTAGTGTACAACTGGCATGACATCAAAATTGGGCTCTATCAGTTTAGATTCAATTCATAAAAAAAACCTCCTAGATGCTTGTGCAAGCCTTAGACAAACTGTGCATAGCTCTTGATTCTCACAGGAACTGATTCTCTTGTAGTAATTGGGCATTTCTGCTTTTGGTCCTCTCATTTTCCAGGTGTGACAAGCATTTATGAGACATCTCATGAGGAGCAGGGAAGCATCTGAGAGCAATGGGCAGTCAGCAATCACAAATCTGTCACTGCAAATTCTAGGCAACAAGACACCCCAGGATTCATTCCTGCATAGCGTTCCCCCTCATGATTTTGAGAATCTGCTACCTTCCAGCATGCTGACGTGCATGGCGTCGTTGGCTTTCTTGGGGACACTGAGCATCACTTCCAGGCCATCTTTGAGTTCTCCTTTGCCTTCTTCACAACAGGTTAAGAGTTCCTAAGAAGAAATGCAGGCCATATATAATTAACTTCTTTACAGGCAGAATAATATACTCTCACTTACATTCAGATTACATTTCCCAGCCTAAAGCCTTGTCTCCATGCAACAGGTTAATTAAAGGTAAGCTTTAAAATGGATGAAGTTTAATTGCATCAAAGGCCGTGTGGACACTCATATATCATAAACCTGGATTAAGTTGATTGAGAACTAGTTTAAGGTTCAACAAAACAGATCACCCTGAAACCAAAATAAGAGCGTCTACACAGGAGTTTGCTCTGATTTAACTAAGCCAGTTTAACTGAACCAGTTTAACTATATGGATGCAAATGTCATCTATAGAGAGGGCCTAAAATATTGTCTCTATTTCTAGTGAGATTTTCCCTGCATATATTTTGTTTAGAATCATAGCAATGTAGTGCTGGAAAGGACCCCAGAGATCATTTAGTCCAGCCTCCTGAGCTGAAACAGGACCATCCATCTAACCTATTCTGAAAAACCTCCAATAACGGGGAATCCACAGTCTTCCTTGCTAATCTATTCCAATGCTTAACTATCCTTATAGTTAGAAAGTTTTTTCTAATATCTAGCCTAAAACTCCCTTGCTGCAGATGAAGCCTATTAATTCTTGTCCTACCTTCAGTGGACATAGAGAACAATTCATCACTGTGCTCTTTATAACAACCCTTAATATATTAGAAGACTGTTATCGGGGTCCCCCATCAGTCTTCTCTTCTCTAGACTAAACATGTCCATTTTTTAACCTTTCCTCACAGGTCAGGTTTTCTAAAGCTTTTATCATTTTTGTAGCTATTTTCAGGACGGTCTCCAATTTGTCCCGATCTTTCCTAACGTGTGGCAACCAGAACTGGACACAGTACTCTAGCTGAGGCCGCACCTGTGCCAAACAGAGTGGAATAATTACCTTCCATGTCTTACGTAAGACTCTCCTATTGTTTATTAGTTTTTAAGTGGATACTGTCTGATCAATTTGCAAAAATTTGCAAAATCCAAGATCAATAGAAAATGTTCCCATTGTTAATTTTAAAATTAGTCTAATGAGTCTTTTATTTGTGTGTAAGTATTCCTGTGCTGTACCTGTCAACATTTCAAAGAAAAAATTAAGCTGAAATACAGCGTCCAAGAAGAGGCAGATGTTGGCTAGGGGTCCCTATCCAAACCCAGGAAAACATCCAGATGTTTGCTATTGTTAGAAACAGCTGAACTGTCATTAAAACATCTGACCAAAGTGTTCCAGAAAGCAAACTTACTGTATAAGAAAACACTTCTATCTCCCTTGGATTTTCCCTTTCTTTCCTTTTTCTCTTCTTAGGGCTAGATTGGATGTTCAGAACTCAGTTCCTGTGGAGAATCAGTCTCACTGTGTCTACTTTTCCTCTTCATGCATCTTTTCTTCTGTCATTTGTAATGTACTGCATGACTCCCCCTCAGAAGTTCTTCATCCTTTGCATTTTTCTCTCCAAAACACTCTTTCTCCAAGATGTTTCTCTTTTCCAATTCAGTCGTTCTCCCCTACCTACTTTTACAATTAAATATTTCATTTTTCCTCTCTCCTTTCTATCACAGTTATTCCCCACCATTAAATCTCTCCTTATTTCTGTACCCACCTATGACTGATCCAACTGCCATCAAAGTCAATAGGAATTTTCCCATTGATTTCAGTAAGAGTTAGATTAGTCTCCCTCTCCTTGCCCCCTTGGGTCCTCTTGGGATGGGGATCACCCTCAAATGCAAGTTGATGGTATAAATGTTTCAGAGAGTGAGCTGGTGACAGAGTTAATTTGTAGGTATCACCATCCACATTGAAAGTGAATTGAGAGCTCTACCCTGCAGTGTAGGAAGTCTGAATACTGCAGCACTGCATAGTGTATAATACCCAGTAAATGAAAGTGACTATAAACACAAGAGAAATTTATTTCCACTGACTGAGATGGATGAAATGCAAACAGTAAATAAACAGCATTAATGGTGAAAAGTAAATTGGAGCTTTGCAATTTTTACCAGTTTAATTGCTTATGTTATTAACACACAGGAAAAGATTTTCTTTAATATATGATACTTAACCTCATGGTGTGCATTTATAAAAACTTGGTAATTTCAATGCATTGGTAAAAGAACCTCTTGGGCAGAAATACAGTTGAGAAATTGGCTTGAATTTGCTAGAGGCATTATCATATTCATTTATGATTTCCATACCATTTTACAAGACACATGTTCTGGGTGTGCCAACTTCTCCACTGCCTTCATTCATTGTGCAGTCATTTACACCTGTACAAAAGGTGTGTAAGCCACTAGCAGATCAGCATGGCAGCGTTTCACACTATATCTTAGGTACTTATTTGGCCCACATTATCATAGCATCTCTGTGCCTCACAATCTGTAACATAACACAACACCCCTGTGAGGTAGGAAGTGCTATTATTCCCATTTTACAGACAAGGAACTGAGACTAAGTAACTGATTTTTAAAGGTGTTTATGATGCCTAACTCCCATTGTCCAAGATTACACAAGAAGACTGTTGCAGCAATGACCTGAATTTAGGTCTCGCTAACCACTGGATCATTCCTCCTCTTCTTACTGAGTCAGATTCTCATTTACAGCTCTTTTCCCGGCCCAACTTATTTCCACCTCAGCATCAGATCAGCGGCACTGGTCATTGTGTCAGCAAGTGAGGGGTGAGCCAACTCCTGGGCCCCCCTCTCCATTCCCTGCCACCTATGTGGAAGGGGGCCCAGCTGCAGCAGCTGCTCAACCCCTCAAGTAGGGTCTGGCCATGCAGTTAGCTCCCAAAGGGGAGTAAGAGGGGTTGTTACACTCACTAACTCCCCTGCACAGGCTTACAGCGAGGCTTCTAATTGAACCCAATGTGACCAGTGCTAGATCCCCATATCTTGTGGCTCCAGGCTACTGTGTCTGCCAGTCAAGTTACTGACTCTCTCTGTGACCCTTTGTACCCCATCTGAACAATGTGGCTAATCAGACTAGATCGTTACTGTACCTTCAGTAAAAGCTGGTATTTGGTGATCCTCTGGACAGGCTTGATTAAATAGGAGGAGATAGAGTTGGCCAGGCCGTGCCTTTGTTGAATTTCCTACAGGAGGCGAAAACAAGATGCTGTTAAATACAGGCATAAAAAACCTTTTACCCAATACCAGATGGAACCACCCATAACTAATTTTAGCCCGGGAGTTCTTACTTTAACTAGTTTTTAGTTCACATACAAAGAATAATGTGGTTTCATAAAGGACAGCAATATACCACAAGGTTATTTAGGCCTGGTCTACACTAACACCCCAATTCGATCTAAGGTACGCAACTTCAGCTACGTGAATAACGTAGCTGAAGTCGACATACCTTAGTTCGAATTTACCGCGGTCCACACGCGGCAGGCAGGCTCCCCCGTCGACTCCGCGGTACTCCTCTCGCTGAGGTGGAGTACCGCAGTCGACGGCGAGCACTTCCTGGTTCGAATTATCGCGTCCAGACCAGACGCGATAAATCGAACCCGGAAGTTCGATTGCCAGCCATCGAACTACCGCGGTAGTGTAGACATACCCTTAGTGTTCTCTTCTGGTCTGTAAATAGGGAGAGCTCTGTGCAATCACTCCAGCTAGGACTCTGTTGAGTAAACAACGCAGCTTTTGCCTTAGGATGTATTTATTGTCATGTAAACTGTTTTTCCTTAGTCGTGAGGGTTTAAATCAGACTCTTAACATTAAATCCTGCATTAATGTCATGTCTGGGGTGGGCCTTTATCATAATTCTTCACATTCTGGAGCGTTTACTCACTTAATAACCTCCAGGATGCCCTGGGCCAGATTCTATGCTTCAGCATAACGGGGAAGGGGAGGGGCCATCACAGATCCAGTTATAGCTCCCTTGTTCTCCTCTTGGCCCCTAGCCATGGGTCAGGTGAGAGCCAGCCAGGACGCTGCACTAACTTGCTCCAGTTGGTAATAGCCCCAAGAAGCATTCTGCCAGCTGAGGATATAGCTAAAGAACAATGTACTCTGACCCCTCCTCTTCCCCACCCATGGTATTTGCCCATCCCGCAACACAACCTGTGTACCGGCTGGCACATGATTCTTTTGCTGGAACCAGTTCAGCACACTTCTTTTTGTACTGTCTGTGTAACTAAGTTTTTCATCCTTCCTGTGTCCCAGCTCTTGGTGCAGGAGGACACTCCAGAATGCATTGCCTTATGTGCTGCTGGTGAATGTTCACTAGGCACACTAGCCCCTGCTGATGCACTATGGGATAGCTGCTCAGAAACGGTGAAATCTTCACACCTGCCCAGCCCTTCTACACTGAATAAGGCCAGAGTGAACCGGAGGGCTCCTAAAAGTCTCAGTTCCTACCGAGGGAGGATTTCCCCAGCATAGGCATGGAGGCAGACAGCTGCAAGGCAGCCTCCAGAGGACTCCTTCACACAGCCTGGCATAGGAGACACACGCGGCATTGGGGTGAAGGCAGGAAGGGCATATGGGGAGTGGGATCACAGAACATGGCACTGTAGAGATTCTGGGCAGTGCTGCCATCCAGGGTTGACTAAGACAGTTACGCTTGGGATTGTGGAGAAGCCCAGGACCGGGCTTAAAGTCTCCTCCCCTCTTCCTCTGGGCTGCACGTTCTGTGCTGCATCTCTAATAGGTGAAGAACAGCATCTCACCCAGTGACTGATGCACTGATACAAAAACACATAGAAAGCAGGCGAGGTGTGGTTGTGCAAATATAGTTATGAGGGCAGCAAAATTGCTGGGTGGACACAAGCTGAATGGTGGTAGGTGTCAAAGTCTCTAACTAGTCAGTCAGGAGTTTTAGCCAGGACAGGGCCTTAGAACACACAAAACTGCCATCCACACAAGGACAAGAGTGTGGAACTGCATCCTGAGCAGTTACTGCTATGTGATACTGCCTACGGGACATAAAAGATTTCAGATACATCTGTAAATTGGGATCTTTTGTAAAACACTTGGATGCTGGAAAGCACTATATGAACTTGCAGTACTATATCTCTTGAAGAATGAACTAAGGAGATACAAGGCTTCCGCCTGCTTCCTGAGGAAGAAAAACTTGCCTCTGGTTCATTGGAGAAATTGTTCAAGAACACTCCATCCATGCGGAAATATGAATCCCTATAACACTGCCAAGGTCAGTGAACCTTACCATGTTGTGCTGTGTGCATGCTGGTCACACAAGTCAAAGGTGCCTGGGGGCAGCTCTATACTAACACACTGAGCTTTTTCTAAGATCGAAAGAAAAAGATTTCAAGTCAGGGGAAGAATATGGCCAGTGTTTGAACCAGATCCTCCCTGTTTTGTACTTTCTCTGTATCCTCTTGGACACCCAGCCTGTCTATGCTCTGGCCAAATTTTCCTTGACATGCTCCAACACTCCCAGAAGGAGAACTTGCTCATGATAGTTTAAATAAGAAAGCACTATTATTGTTTAAATTGCATCAGATTCAGAGGAACAGTCCACGAGGCAGATAGAAGAGAGAAATAGGGATCAAATGTTTCTTATCTATGTCCCAGATCCTCAGCTGGTGTGAACTTGCATAACTCCAATGACTTCAAAGCCATGCTGATTTACACTAGCTGGGGATCTGGCCTGTATGACTAGCCACAATTATATCTGGTGACTGTGGAGAATATATTTCATTAAATAAGTGTCATAAAAAATTAACGAGTCCATTAGACATCAGTGATCTCTGAAGCTACTGGATGAAGAAAATACACACAGTTATAATGCTGTGGTATACATAGTTAGGTATTACAGAAGAACAGATATAAGAAGTGTAGGAGTTTGGTTAATCAAGTAAGTTGTGGCTGTTAGAATTCACTGCTATTTTCAAAAGAATAAGGGTGCTGGTTCCTGTGTCCCAACCAAATTCCAATTTGCGTAACCATATTCTAACTCCCTAAATTCTTCCTGTAGTTTCAGAGTTGATATGGCAGTCTCCCTTGCTGCCTGTCCTACGCTGATGATTAGCAATGCCATGTGCATTTAGGGAAAGATCTTTGAAATGGAAAGATTCCCATTGACTTAAATGGGTGTTCAATGAGGTCCTTTACTGCTACTTTCCTCCCATTGGTGGTTGCATTTCTGTGGTGGATGGAGTGAATCGAGTGTTTGCAAACGTTGTGCAGTGCTTTGGAATCCTCAGACATACTATGCACATGGAAGATTATTATTACAGGGAGTAACAGAGGGTCCTGTGGCACCTTTAAGACTAACAGAAGTCTTAAAGGTGCCACAGGACCCTCTGTTGCTTTTTACAGATTCAAACTAACACGGCTACCCCTCTGATACATTACAGGGAGTATCTCTTTAGCAAGATGTGCTGGATATTGTCCAAATCTCATTGAGAAGAATTGGAACGATGAATTTAATTTCCTTCATATTACACTGAGGGCCTGATTCTCCACTGCCCTGCAATTTGTGCAGTCATTGACACCACTGCAAAGTAAACACTAACCACATCAGAATGGGAAAATTTTACAACCACTTTGCACTGGTGTAAATGACTTCAAGGTCTGGGACTATGGAGACCTTTTATCCTTCAGGGTTTCTGGCATGTCCTCTTTCTCCCTTTGCATACCGAGTTGGTTTTCAGCATAGTAGAATCCCTACCTGGGCCACATAAAAACAGAACTTGCCACTGCAAAACAGCAATATGCTGAAACTTTAACTTGCAGTATTAAGCACTATCAAAAGGTCTCCAGTCAACATATGCGGCTGTGATGGAAAAGCTTAGCAGAGCAAATACTTTTTAATCTGTGTGAACACCCTGATAAACATGTAAATCTGCTGAAATGTTCCATGGCCCAGGGAAGCCACTTCTAAACTATTAAACAGGCTCAAGTGCCACCTGCTGGTGAAACTATTTAACTGTCAAATATACTTTTAGGAAAAGGAGCTGCTAATTTACAAAGAGCACTATGTGGTCCATAGCAAATTATTTTTAAAAGAGAATATTATGCTCTTCATTTTTCTGGTTCACTTAAGAGTGCTAAATGCTGAGTTTAACTGAAACAATTTAATCAATGGCCTATAACGAGTTCACATGAGTTGATTCATACAGTTATTACCATGGTACCAGCTGCATGAGTAGGAACCCTGCTGACTGATTATATTTGTCACTGACGATGTTTAGTGTCTAGGAAAGGAGATGTATTTAAAATTTTAAGGACAACCCACAGTGGTCCCTAAAGGACTGGAGTAACAGAGTGTTAATATGGATGATAGATGGACCATACTCCAGAGGTTCAGTGAACACATTTAGTTCAAATAAAGAATCCAAAAGCATGTATGTTTTATCTGAGCCACCTCTGTCTTCAAAGCTGGGGCTGGATCCTGCAAACACTTATTACCAGGCTTAGCACTTTACTACTGGACACAGTCCAGCTGAAGTCAATGTGGTCACTTATTGTCAAATTTAGGCAAGTGTTTAGTAAGTTTTTGCAGGATTGGCTTCTTATCTTGGAAATGTTGTGAGAAGAGATCCCCTTATTGGATTTTGGCACTTCAAGGTATAAATATAATGAGCTCAGATTCTCTTGTTCGATTTTGGCACTGGAACCAGGAGACCAGAGGAAATTTGAACCATCCAGAACCTTAAAGTGATTTGATTCTAAAATCAGATGAAGGTTCCCATAAGGATTGCTCAACCCTACTAGGACCAACTTTCCCCAGTGATGAAGACTGCACATCACACAATGCACATATACATCATCCAGCGGGAAACCATTATGTGACAGAGAGTGCGCTCTGATGGAGAACGTCCAGAGCTGCTTACATCAAAGAAAGTCCCTGCATGTTCCAGGATGAGCTGGCTGGAATCAGGCTTGTTTTTGCAGTAGGTGACATAGATCTGAAATTTATCTGCCTGTGAAAACAAACATCAAGGGAAAAGCAAGATCAGCTATTGCTCTGCTCCCACAATCACCCATTAAGACTGAGCAGAATAAATACATGCAGTAAACCATTCCTCTTACTGTAATGAGAGTCTTGCAGGTTAAATAGAACAATTAAAGGCAATCTGTGTTCTTCCAGCTGAGGAAAACGAGGTGCACCAAATAGTAAACCTGTATGCTTTTCTTTAACAAATCTACAGGTAACATCGGAGACAAGGCTCGGGCAAACGTTTTCAGCTTTATTCTGGGGTACTGAGTAAGTGTTAGACTCTGCACAGACCAATCCCCTACAGAAGATGGGCCATTTAACAACAGCTTGTTGGTAAATCATGAACAATGTCTGCAAATATTTACTCCTGCCTTGAAGCAACTGTTACAGAGTTAAGGGCTAGATTTTGTCACAAGGACACAATCCACCACTGTGGTGCCACAGAAACATCTCAGGGAAGGAATTATGGCTCAGGGGTTCGTTACACAAACATCTACTCTGGATACCCGAGTGCTGAATGGGGCCACAATGCCCTCCCTACACTTCCCTTTGCTCCCAGGGGAGGTAGTAATTTATTGTTAGCCTATATCACTTGTCACCCAGGCTGGCTCAGCTGTGTTGGCCAACGAGTGCAAGAAAGCTGGGGGCAGGGGAGGGAGTCAAGGCTCTAGTTTTCTCTGCTGCAGGGAAGGAACAAACAGGGAGACAGCATAGAGCTGTGTTCCCTTTACTTCTCTGTGCGGCTGTGCACTCCAAGTCACAATGTAGCTCTAAGTGTCCTCTACTCATCACTAGGAAAGTATCATTTGCACCAATCTCTAGCTTGCTTCTGTTTGGGTTTGAGGAGATAATAAATGGTGAAGCAGGAAGGCTCATTACCCAGGTGACAAAGCAGTGACCCACGTCTTCAGGCAGTTGTTCATATTTCTCTAGTTCTTTCAGGAAAATGCTGAAAATGTGAGAGACAGCTAGAGTTAGTTACTCTGTATAGCTGAATATCTGCACCATGCTATGATTACTCTTAAAAGTATCTTTGTTACAAAGCTAATCAAATGTATTTTATGGCCTGACCATTGAAAAAGTGTGTTACTGCCAATGGATGCTTTTTTTCTTTGAACACAACTGCTCCATCTGAAACGTTTGCTCCATGGCTCAACAACAGAAAAAAAGATGATAATCCTTAGCACTGGGATAGTGCTGTAGAGGCAATGAAGTGCTGTGCAGGCATGAACTAATTCTTCTTCACAGCAACCTTGTCAGGGAGATAATATTTAGAGTGGGGCGGGAAACAGTCTTCCCATCTGTGAAAATTTCAAAAACTTTCCCATTGCACATCAGGACAAAACAGGGAGAGAGAGAGAGAGAGACCCACCCCAAAAAAACCAATAGCCCAGTGATTAAAGCACTCGCCAAGTTCCAGTCCTTGCTCTAATTCAGGCAAAGCAGGGTCTTGAATCTGGGTCTCGCAAGTCAAAGATGAGTGCTTTCACCACTGGGCTATTGTGGAGCATTTCTCACTCTCTCGGAAGCCTGAGAAATCTTCCCAAAGAACGTTTCATCAAAACCATTTCCCATGAAAAGTTTCAATTTCAATGAATTGGCATTTTCTGTCAAAAACACCTTTTGTTGAAAAATTCCCAACCACCTCGAGTAGCATTATCCCTATTTTACATATGGAAAAATAAGGCAGAGAAGTTAAGTAATTTATCCAACTCTACACAGTGTGTCAGTAGCAGAGCAAGGATAGGCACTCAGAAGTTTATGGCTTCTGATCCTGAATTCAGTCCACTACTCCACAATCCCTCTATAGTATTTTAGGCTAAATTAGGCAATGATACAATTTAGAGAATTGAGGGTGAGTCTCAAGTTATCAGCCAGGGCCTAGGGACTAAACTCACGCCCTAGGTCAGCAATGCAAGGGATGTTCATCCTCTGCTGAAAGATGGAAAATTTCACATCACTCAAGTTACTCCTCTGGCTTTGGAGAACGCCATGTCCAATGCTTGGCTGCAATGAGGGTCGCTGAACAGAATGAACAGGAGGGTGTGAAAACAGTTGTATGTGCTGTGCACTATTGTGTTCTACAATAGCAAATCCTATAGGATCCCCAGGAAACAAACATCAATCGCTGCAAAACAAACATAACAGGTGGGAGGGACACCACAATGGGAGAAAGGGGAATTGGGGTGAAAGCCAGACAACCTCATTGCTCAAGTAAGTAGCAAATGGGGGCGGAGGGAGATTTCCACTAAGAAGTTTGGGCATTTAAAGAGGTCTAGTAGTTTATATATCCACAAGGTATAGGACATTTTTCATGTAATACAAATAGTTGGAATCTACCATTCTGGTTCATTTTAAAGCTGACTGCACAATCTGTGAGTGATATGGTCTCTGTTGGACCATATCTATTTATGTACTGTACTGGTTTAAGATATCACGAGTTCCACTTTATCTGACTGAAGCGCAGACAATTCCTTAGGACTGCAAAGTGTTGTTTTGATGTGTTTGCTTCTAAGATTGCCTCACTTTTTGATGTATAATTTGAAGACTCTTGATTTGAATTGGAATTATGGGATCCAATGTCCTTTGGGTGTTGTGTATATAACTCCTATTGCATGCACATATACATTAAGGGAAGAATAAGTCTGAGTGCAAATCTGATTAATGTAAAGGGTATAGTCCCAACCTAATGTAGGGGAAGCTACAGGTTAGCTGTAATATAGGTGGCAGTAGGACTGGCTACTGTATTTCGTAGGGCATGTCTTCACTAGCAATGTTAAAGCGCTGCCGCGGCTATAAAAAAAACCACCTCCATGAGGGGAGTAGCTCCCAGCACTGGTACACTGTCTACACTGCCACCTTACAGCACCTCACACCGCTGAGTGAGAAAGTTGCAAGGCTGTAAAGTGGCAGCGTAGACAAGGCCCTAATCTCCCATTGACCATTCCTTCTGTTTCCGGCCTTTTCCAAGAGATGATATGTTTGACAGGCAAGATTCCAGACTTCTATTTAAATGGTTGACTTTACTGACTTCATCTCAATACAGTAAAGTGATTGGATTTACAGATCAAGCAGTCTGTTGTTCTCATCCAACTTGGCTAGATCAGGTCCTTGAATCAGATAGGGTTTGATTCTGTGCCAATGACATCAATGGCTAAGTTCCCATTGACTTCACTGATTTAGGACCAGACAGTTGATGCTCTGTTTGACCCATGTAATATGAGAAGATCTTTATCAGGCTGGATAAATTCGGCCTGGGTGATTAAATCTGGCAGACCTTCAGTGGGTTCCAGGTGGGCTAAGAGTACAAGAGAGTCTCAGACTTTTAACAATAAATTAATCTAATTATTCCGAGATGATAACGATGATTGTTTTGCTTCTTGAGACTAGCTGGATAGAGATTCTATTTCTCTAATTTTGATTAACTTCATTTGGTAACAAGGGTCTCATTGATTTACATCAATCAGTTTATAACCTGAGATATGTGTTGCGTGGCTAGTATGGAACCAGGGATCTGGGCTTTTAACTTCTAAATAGGGAAAATTTTATGATGATACACATATGGTATATATGCTCTGCAACTAGGCCCCATTTTTCCCATCTCTAAAACTGAGGAAATACTACATAACTTCTCGGTGCCCGTTTTTCCCCAAAATGGGGATAATGATACCTGCTTCACAGTGATGTGAAGCTTAATTCATTAATATTTGTAGAGTGCTCTGAGATACTTAGATGGAAAGAGCTTATAAGACTGCAAAGCATTATTATTATATTATTACAGGAAGACCTGTTTTATCCGTCACTTCACCAACTGAAAAGCTCTATAAACCGGCGTTTCTGATCTTCATTGAAATGCCGGTTTATAGTCTGGTTGGCGCGAGGCCGGCAGGGGGTTGGGGCGTAGGAGGGGGTGTGAAGCGCGGACTCTGGGAGGGAGTTTGGGTTTGGGAGGGGGCTTGGGGCCCAGGAGGGGGCATGGGGTGCCGGATCCAGGAGGCGCTCACCTCGTGTGCCTCCCCACAAGTGGTGACCTGTTCTGGCTGCTCCTAGGTGGAGGCGCAGCAGGTGGCTCTGCGCGCTGCTGCTGACCCGCCCCTGGCCCAAGCGCTAGCAACGCAGCTCCCATTGGCTGGGAACTGCGGCCAATGGGAGCTGTGGGGGTGGCACCTGCAGGTGGAGGCAGTTTGCAGAGCCACCTGTCGCGCCTCCACCTAGGAGCAGCCAGGACAGGTCGCCGCTTGCCGGGAGCCGCCAGAGGTGAGCGCCCCCCAGATCTGGCACCCTGCACTCCCTCCCGTGCCGCAACCTGCTGCCCCGCACCTCCTCCCACACCCAAACTCCCTCCCTCTTAGTTAACTGGCATTTTTCACTTACCAGCACCCCCCATTGCCCCAACATGTCGGATAAAACAGCTTTTATTGCATTTCTAGTCTGGCTTGCATGTCTTTAATCAGCTATAAGCAAAGTTTGAATAAAGTTTTAATTATTTTTACAAAGAAGTAAACAAGGAAACAGTCAGTATTCCCCAGGTTTGGATCAATAACTCCATGCCTTTCGACAAATACTACTGTACCAGTTCTCAGCACACATTATATATACGTACAGAATGATCTGAGGATTTTTGTTTTGTTTTGTAATCAGTGAACCTTCTTGGACACATTACGAAAACCTACTTGTTATGGAAGTCATAAATCTCCTGAATGTTGCCAAAGATGATATGTTCTTTATTAAGAATCCCAGGTGGTATCTCCTCCACTCCACTTGTCATTTCCCAAAGGTAGGTCTGGAAGACACAAGAAATTCTTAGCACCAAGAAGTGCAAAGCAAAAGAACAGAACTTCCTGTTTTCTTGCCAAAGGCACAGATTGACAACGGAAATGTGCACTTGGAGATTAAACACATAATCTGAAAAGAAATAAAATGGAAATGCTCCAATGACATGAAAAATGTCTCAAGAAATTCAAAGTGCTGACACAGAGAAGGATGTCTGAGGGGGAACTGAAATCATGCCGACAAAACTAGATCTCACTGTCTCTCTGAATGCTCACTGCTGATGCCCAAATAGAACTACAGACAGAAAACAGTTCAAAGGTAAGATGAGTTCACAATTTCAAGAGCCAAGTGTTTATCATTCTATGCATAAAGCCACATTATAGATGTAGGAACTCGAATGCTAACCTCCTTCTGTCAGGTTTACCTTGTTTACTGTCCTCAGTATCACAGATCTACTCAGGGGAAACCCTTAAATAGAGTTTGGCAAACTATTTACAACAAAGTATTTACCAGTGTGATGCAGACCCTTTCTCTGTTCACAAATTATCCAGGCACAGATTTCAATTTTTAATGAAATGTTATACTGTACATAAATTATTTAAGGAATGTTTTAAACAAACAAATTTCAGTCTCTGGATTTATTCATGAAGTATTTGCTATTCATAATTACATAGTTATGCCATGTGATTGACCACCATAGACTCACAGACTTTAAGGTCAGACGGGACCATCATGATCATCTAGTGAGTCTGACCTCCTGCACATTGTAGGCCACAGAACCTAACCTGCCCACTCCTGTAATAGACCCATAACCTCTGGCTGAGCTACTGAAGTCCTCAAATGGTGATTTAAAGACTTCAAGTTACAGAGAATCCGCCATTTACACTGGTTTAAACCTGCAAGTGTCCAGAGCCCCAAAGTCACATGGAAGTGTTTCTACTCTTTGAATGGATGAATGAAGCTTTTAGAAATAGAGGAGCGCTCAGACTGTCATTTGGGGTGCAAATATTTACACACAGACATATTCATAAGAGTATCTGCAACACTTTCTCTTTTTGGCGATGTAAAAAAAATAGCTCATTCTACTTCTTCCACAACTCCCACCCATAGGTACTGATTCAGTGGGTGTTCCAGGGCTGGAGCACCCATAGAAAAAAAAATAGTCGGTGCTCAGCACCCACTGGCAGCCCCCCGGATCAGCTTCTCTCCCTCCTCGTCAGCGCCTCCCTGCTGCTGGCGGGCCCTGCCAATCAGCTCCTCCCCTGCCCTCCCAGCGCCTCCCACCCACCAGCTGTTCAGTGATGTGCAAGAGGTGCTGGGGAAGTGGGGGAGGACTGTTGGCAGGAAGAGCAGGGGAGGGGGCAGAATGAGGGTGGGGTATTGGGGAAAGGGGTGGAGTGGGGTGAGGCCTGTGGCGGAGCGAGGGTCAAGCCTCCCCCAAGAACCGAGGAAGTTGGTGCCTATGCTCCCACCAGTGGAACCTGATTGTCTGCACTCTCCAGCCCTGCCTCTTTATCTTCCCCTAAGCACCACTGCAGGGGGCCAGAGAAGCTGAATTGAAGGTAACCTCCTACCTGCCTTAGCACCCTCTCACAGCCTCCTTCCAGATGCCAGTCAGTGTCTGAGACTCAGGCTTTATTGCACAGCCTAGAACAGCACAAATATATGCAAGGATGCTATATCATTACTGCGAATACTATGATCTTACAGGGCAAAGAACTTACCTCTAAGCATTCATGTAAGTCTCTGACATAAGCTTTTTCAGTCTGAAGCAGTTCAGCCATAATGAATCTGGAAGGAGGAAGGTCTTTCAGTCAGCTTGTACATAATACACATTTATGGCATTACTAAAGAGAAAAACTCTCTTGTATATTTGTCATAAATCAGTGCACTTCCACTCTAATTTTCACCTAACTGGTATTACCTAGGCTCTATGGGAATACAAATAATAATACTCATACCTTCCAAATTTATGAATAAAATACCACTTATTTTCTATTCATTTGGGACCAATCTTAGATATAGTATAGTTCCATATTTTAAAAAACAGCCTTCCGGAATAAAATCCAATTACAATGCGTTTCTCCAATCCTTTGTGTTTTATCTATGGTCCTCAAGTCCTTAGTCATGTGACTCCCATCAATTGTACTGGAGTTTTGCATACATAAGGACTTTGAAATTGGCCCACACCACCTACATTTTGAGAAGTATCCACTATTTATGGGCAACCTTTTGTCACCCTTACTCATGTTGAGTAGTACTGTGATTTCAGTAGGACTATTTGTGGAGTAAACTACTCAGTGTCAGGTAGGCACACTCTAGCCCTTTAGTTGGCTCAGTTATTAGGTGCCCAACTTGAAGCAAGATGTTGATTTTCTGAGGTTCTGAGCAATCACTGTTCCAGCTGAAGTCAATCAGAGCTTGGGATGCTCAACGCCTCTGAAAAAAGTAGGCCCTAGGTTTCTCAAGTTGTGCACCCAAAATTTTGAAAATTTGGGCCTATATTTTGTAAAACCACAAATGATTAATATTTGATAAATGATTAAACTCAGAACCTTAACACATATGAATTAAGCCAAAATGTGTGCTCTGAAATTACAGCTTTTCCCTATTTTAGCCTGGCCTATAAGACTTTTAGTTAAACACTATGAGTGAAATCCTGGCCCCACTGAAGTCAATGTCACAACCCCCCTTGATTTCAATGGGATCAGGATTTCATCCCCATCTGATCGTAAAAGGTTAATTGGGAAAGTGTTTGATTGCACATATACATATTATTTTAACTTTCTCTTTTCCCTTTTATCCACCCAGAAAGACCCTAGTGATAATGAGACTCTAAATTATTATAACCAGCATGTACTAATCTACTTCTCTGATTCACTCCTTAACCTCTCTGGAAATAATTAATCACAAAGAAATTCAAACTAAATCTTTTGAAATCACTCCAACCTACAGTCACAATTTCTATTCAAGCTCATATAGACATATCTCCACAGCTCCACAACTGGCTGGAATTATGGAGTTGTTAATATTGGTTGTAACCATGGGAAAGGGTCATTTCATGTGCTGTGTTATTGCAGTGTGTGTTTTGGCACATACTCTTTCTTTCTGGCTGATTTCCTTTTTTCTTCATTAACCTCGTGATTTGCATCTCGCAGCTTCACCTCCCGGTCTGAAAGACTCGCTGGAATGATGTCCAGTTCCAGGTCCTTGTTATCCTATAAACAGTAACAACACAGATTTTAAGTTGGGTCTAATCCCGGTGCTACATAATAGGCAGCACATTCACAAGACTAAGTAGATAAAAAGGAATAAAAATAGGACAAAACTGCCAAAGATAAAAGGAAGCAAATTCAGAGATAAACAGAAGAATTAAGGAGACCGAGCGAGAGAGACATCAACAGCACCCTTTATTTATGCTTCACCTAGAGAGAATTTTTTAAAATTTGAATGACTACGTATTAATAAGGTCTTTATCATTATGTCTATCTAGGAACAAAAGTGGAGACAAAGAACTTGGGCATGGCTACACTTGCAGATGTAGAGCGCTTTGAGTTAAACCAGCCTTCGTAGACCGCAGTAGGGAAAGCGCTGCAATCTGTCCACATTGACAGCTGCAAGCGCACTGGCGTGGCCACATTTGTGGCACTTGCAGCAGCATTGGGAGTGGTGCATTATGGGCAGCTATCCCAGCATGCAAGTGGCTGCAACGTGCTTTTCAAATGGGGGGGTAGGGTGGAGTGGGACAGGGAGTGTGTTGTGTGTATGTGGGGGGGAGAGAGAGTGGGTTTTTGGGGCGCTGAGAGCATGTTAGTATGCTGTCTTGTAAGTTCAGACAGCAGCAGACCCTCCCGCCTCTCTCGCTCACATACAGCATTCCACAGTAATGGTTGCTTTGTCTCGGAGCAGATAAGCATGCCAGCTGTCAGAAATGGAGCTTTGAAAGGGCATATCCGCATTCCTGCAGTGATTCTGAAACAATGACAAGAGTGGCCACTTGATTTAAAGGGATTATGGGACATTTCCGGAGGCTGATCAGAGCGCAATAATGCAACACCCCGTTCACACTGATGCCCAGGCATTGTAGCCAAGGCGCATCAAACGTTATTCCACTCACCGAGGTGGAGTACCAGGAGTGCTCTAGCTGCAGAGTCAGAGCGTTCTACATGCCTTGCCAGTGTGGATGGGTAGTGAGCTAGGGTGCACAAGGCTGCTTTAATGTGCTTTAACTCGCAAGTGTAGCCAAGCCCTAAATCTGCTTACCTTACACCTAAGGGGCTAAATTAGTTCAGTAGTACTTTACTCCACAAATAGTGCAATAATTGGAAGTGAGGTATTATTCCATGTAAAGATATTTCATCTCTAGTGTAAGATTAGATCAATTTGTTTTAAAGGGACTATTCACCTGAGTTAGAAGAACAGAATCTGATCCCCAATCTAAGTCAATAGGTATTTATCCTATAACGTGTTCAGAAAGAAAGGCCTCTTACTAGTTCCTTACAATAACAGATGCAATACCTGCTTTCAATTATCTTCTGCCCCTGGCATTCCAATCTAGACAGTGATTAGCAAGAGTGCGTAAAACAGAGGCCTTAAACGTGCCTTTAAATTATGGGTTTGCTGGTGATGACTCTGTGTCCTTTGCTTCTTCATGATAAAATTAACTTGGATTGTTTTACCTGATTGATCTATTACCCACTCCTCCCCAGTATCCATATAATCTCCCTGTATTATGGGCGTAAGCATTTGTGTAGAAGGCTCTTCCTTCTTCCTTCTCATCTATGACTCTGTTAGCCTATTGACCGCCGATGAGTAGCTTTTTCTCTGTAGGTAGAGCTGTTTCTGGATTGGTTGGTATAATATCAGAGAAGGACATTGACTTACAGTACCTCTGTATTGATTCCAAGGGCTTTTTCCAGTGAGTAGCGGTATTTCCCCATCCTCAGAGAGAAGTCCCGATAGCGTTTGTCAACAGTGGTGACCCATTTCCTAATTTCAGCAGCATGTATATGTCCTTTTTCTATAAAGCTGTCAGCCAGCTGTATGAGAAGCTTCACTTTCTCCTTGGTTTGCTGCCCAAAACATGGTCCGTGGTTATGACAGGTTTATTATTATTTCCTTTGATTTTAATTCACACAGCAGCCAGATGCAGTTCACAATCTTACACATACTAAAATAAAGACTATTTCATAATACGTACAGTCCAGAAGCTTTAAACTCCCGCCTGTCCTGCAGCAAGGCAATGCCATTTTTGCAAGGAAGACTCAGTGTTAATCAATGGAATTCACCTTGCAGGGTGGGAAATCCCCTGCATGAAATATGGAAGGTTAAGGCTCCACAACTGTACTCACAAATGCATAAAGGAAAAATATGATGAAAGGTTGACAGACCATTTCTTTCTTAACCTATTACTTCTTGTTTTGATGCCATAAACCCTAGTGAAATATCAAATCATTGTTTGTAATGGCTGTGATTTTGGACAATGGATAACATTTCAAGTTTCCCATCATAATATATACACAATCATTCTGAATCCATATTTAGGTAACTCTTTTAAACATTTTGTCATCAGTACTTCAAAACATCAGCTGGGGAGGTGGGCTTGAGTCATTGATTTCTGCTTTAGATTTGAATCTGAATGAAATTTCTGGCATGTTTGTGTGGTTAGATGTTGATAGATGTTTGGCTGTGTGTGTGTGTGTTCCCTGTGTGTGCTGCCCCCGCCCTGCACAGACAGCTGGCACAGCAGACCTCGAGCAAACCACCCAATGACCACAAGATCCGTTAAGGGACGAAGGCACCCAGCCAGGTTTATTGTCGACAAAGCACGGTACTAGTATCCCACAGACTCTACCGGACCACTAATACATGTATGCCCGTAACAATGGACGCAGCTCAGTCAGTGGCGGGACTTTCCACTGCTCCCTAGGCTTGCCAAAGATACTCCCTCTGAGATACATCTTTATACCCCGATACAAACAAGTTAGTACTGCCCCTTTGACATAGTTATTTACTGCCCCCTGACGTCGCTAGTTATCACCCACCATTTTGTATATGTTAGTTTGATTAAAATATTTCTATTATGTACTGTCATCCTGACCTTATCTTTTAGGAGGGTTCAGTGTGTTCCTGTTATCCTTGGGGAATGTTTTTGTACCATCCTTGATATCGGGATGTTCTAGTACCACTTGATATCGGGATGTGTTTGCATAAGCACTATGTGAATAGCACTTCTTAGGAATGTGTATTTCTGCAATATTAGCCCTGTTCTTGCCAAATTCTGTGAGCAGGTCCTGTGCCAGGCCTCTAATACAAGGGCTTATGTCTCAGGCTCTCTTCCTACTAGTTTGAATATGGTTTGATCAATTATAGAGGTCGCAGAGTCCTACCCAAGTACTGGATCCAGATGTAAAACAATGCTCTAGTTCTAATCAGATTAAAAACTAAAAAGGTCCCGAGATATAAAATTCATACCCAGACTTCCAACTTCTTCAAGTTCTATTCTAGTCAGGGTCTTTTACTGCCACAATCACCATGGGATCTGGTGTTTATGGATGTTTCAGATCTGGGGTTTTGGCTCAGTCCATTATAGACAAATGGAATAATAATTACATTTAGAACTGGATTTTAAGTCTGGATTCCAAACTCCCCCCAGAAATTGAAGGTGTCTGGATGTAGTATTTGGGCCCGGTCTGTCTGTGGGGAAAACTGCTTATAAAAGCAAATGTCTAAAGTATACAAATCAAATTGAGTTCCATCGGTGACTCAAACATTAATCTTCAAAAACAGAGTGAGAGTCAATCACATCTCCAAAGTACATCTGCCTTCTGTCCTGAAGAATACTGAATGGCCTGCTTTTCAAAGGTGAAGAGCACCTGCAGCTCTCTCTGAAATCAAAAGAGCTTCAGATGCTTGGCACCTCGGAAAATCTAGCCATGAATGTACAAATGTATGTTTTACTCCACAAAATGTCCAGGAGATTTCAAACTTAAAGGCAGTTCTAGAAGTTTCACTAGCAAAACACATGAATCAGAGAGTCTGTGGCCACCTCAGTAGCACTAGAAAATTAACTGAGGCAGGAGTAGCTGTGAAGATTACAAATTGTTTCATTAAATTCAATTTCACCCTGTGAGAAGGGCATGTAATTCACAAAAACTCAAAAGTGCCTTTGCTCTTGCATCTTCACCTTGGACAAGAAAATATTGTGGTTGGAAAATGGCTCATTGACATCTTATTTCTGGGAGGGCATACATTTTCCAGTTGCTTAAGGCACTGAAAACCTCTGAGAGCTGTTGCTTTAAAAGAACCCTGCCTTATACCCACTTCTCTCTTTTGTCATTAATCCCCATTTTCACAAACAACGTATTCACAAACTTTTATAAGAAAAAGAAGGGAAGGAAGATGAACATGAAGTCTGTGATAGAAGCCCACACAAACATGGACATTCACACGAAGAATTAAGGAATATCAATTTCTATACACAGTGGATTGAGGATGCATAACACTGAGGCTGGTGCCCTGCTGCAGTCAGGCTTAGCAATTTAGATCCTTATCTATGACTGTTAATATCCTTGTGAATTCAGTGTATTTTCTGTCTCTAAATTAACTTCGGTTTGGATTAGTTTGCCTGAAGCAGTTCCAACCCCATCATCAATCTATGACAACCCCAGATTCCACAGAAATGCTCCACAGAAATTAATAGATTCTTGCTAATGAAGCTCAGGATACAACAGAACTAATCCTGGGAATTTACAAACCCATTCATTAGAAGTACTTCAGTGGGATCAATGGAGCACTTCTAATGAATAGGATGGTCATGAGTAGGCAGTCCAAAGAGAATCAATTAAACAAACTGCAATAGTAATTACAGAAGGAACATCCATCGAGGCCAAGGTGACCTCAGCTATGTTAGGCTGAATTAACTATTCAATTATTTTTTACAAAATTGTTTGTGGCGGGAGTTTCACTATGTCTAAGTTAGAAACTTGATACCTGTGAATTATTCCTTGTACAAATCAGCTCGCCCTGCTTTAGAGCAGAGCAAAACTACCCCATCTCCAAAAAAGACAGCATAAAAATCCCCTTTTTGTGCCCATGACTGGTTAAAAAATGGTGTGTCACAGTTCTCAAAAGAAAAAGTTCCCTCCTGGGTCAAGAATGTCAACAGCAGATTCCAGAATCCGGAGAATATTTATTGCACAGTTCTAAGCCCCTGAGAAAGGGAGTGTGAAATAGGAAACAGGCTCACGAAAGGCAGATGCCATAATTAGAATGTTGTTACTGTTTACCTTGGCGGGTACTCTGAATTCCCCATATTCTTTCAGGAGTTCCTGAGTTTCTTCTGCGGATTCCCCTGTGGAATTGTGAGTAGAGAGGTAATATTCGCCTGTTTCTTGGATCCAGTCTAAGGCCTGGGAATGGCAAAAGCAACCAAAGAAAATTAAAAAATAGGTCTGTGTATTTCAAGAATTAATCCTTTTATGAAAACTCTTACAAATGAAGGATCTCGGTTCCAGTGGGACCTTGTGCTTTGTGTATTAAAACATACTCTAAGGACACATCAAGAGAACACATCAGTTAACGCAGATGGCCAGATTCAGAGGGGATATGTAAAGTGGCATAATTTGCCCGTGAGTGAGTTAAGGGATTTTAAGTGAGAGTAACTTACATGTGGAGGAAAAGATTCTCTGGTTCAGCCACACTATGTTCAGTGGCTAAACACAACCCAGGGATCCCCCTTACAAAGGTTGAATCTTGAGGGGGTCAAAACACCTGGGTTTCCAGCTGCTTTGTACTGGCAGGATGGCACAGTGCAACTGGAGTGGGGCCAGAAAGGAGGCTTGTACTAGGAAAACCAACTAACAGGAGAATGAGCGAGAGTCCTCCCCACCCCAACTCTTAAACCTATTAACCTGCATTTTCTTATATTGTTCAGCCTCCTCGCATGCAAGTTGCACAAATGTAAGGCCTGATTCTCCATTGCCTTGCCCCTTGTTTAGTGATTTATACCTGTGCAAAGGGGGAGAGAAAGGATGAGAGGAAGGAATGTCCAGCGGTTAGGGCTTTAACCTGGGATTTGGGAGACCAGGGTTTAATTCCCTACTTTGCCACAGAATTCCTGTATGGCCTTGGACAAGTCACTTGGGTATGGCTACACTGAAATTAGACACTCCCGGCTGGCTCGTGCCAGCTGGCTCGGGCTAATGGGCTGTTTGGTTGTGATGTAGATGTTTGGGCTCGGACTGGAACCCAGGCTCTAGGACCCTGCTAGGTGGGAGGGTCCCAGAGCTCCAGCTGCAGCCTGAGCCAGAACATCTACACTGCAATTAAACGACTCCTTAGCCTGCGTCTGGCTAACCAGAGTCAGCAGGCACAGGCCAGCTGCAGGTGTCTAACCCTAAGTGTCTCTGTGCCTTAGGTGCTCATCTGTAAATCAGGGATGACAGTACTTCGTTACCTCACTGGGGGTTGGGAGAATAACAACATTTAAAAAAACATATTTTGTGTGGTACCCAGATACTAAGGAAATGGATGTCATATAAATGCAGAAGATAGACAGATAGCCCGATCAGAATTCTCCTGTCATTCACACAGTAAGCACTTTGCACTACTATAAATAACTACAGAAGGCCAGCCACTCCCAGTCCCTATTCAAGCCCAAATTAATGCTGTTAAATTTGCAAATGAATTGTAGCTCTGCAGTTTTTCTTTGAAGTCTGTTTTTGAAGTTTTGTTGAAGGATGGCTACTTTTAAATCTGTTATTGAATGTCCAGGGAGATTGAAGTGTTCTCCTACTGGCTTTTGTATGCTCACTACAAAAGCAATTTTCCCTCTCTTGGTATTGACACCTCCTCATCAATTATTGGGAGTGGACCACATCTACCCTGACTGAATTGGCCTTGTTATCACTGGTTCTCCACTTGTAAGGTAACTCCCTCCTCTTCATGTGTCAGCATATCTATGCCTGTATCTGTAATTTTCACTCAATGCATCTGAAGAAGTGGTTACCCATGAAAGCTTATGCCCAAATACATCTGTTAGTCTTTAAGGTGCCACCAGACTCCTCGTTGTTTTTATAGATACAATGATATATAAAAACCCCAGACAGGACTGGGTCATTACAGTACCTGTTTGGCACTGCGCTCAAAGACCACGTACTGTTGGCACTGATCTAATCTCCGTTTCTTCAAAGTCCAGAAGTGAAGAACCCGGTTCTCTCTCTGCAGCAGTTCGCTCAGAATGGCTGTGGGGCCAAGCAGAATGGCTCTGTAAGTGGACGCAGACATAAACCAACAAAGACTGAGCTCATTTCCCTGTCACCAGAGTGAACTTGCAGGAGTAGAGCCCTTCAGACCATCCTTCTTAAACAAAACACTGAGTTAAAAAAGGCTGGTGAAAAAAAATACAAAACAAATTTTGTGGGATTTTCTTTTCAGTTGAAAAATCAAAATTAGTAAAATTAGTAAAAATTAAACAGTTTCAGCGTTACCGGGCATTAGTGACTTTGTGTGGGGGATAGGGAAAATGCCAAAACAGAGTTTCAGATTGAGTTAGATTTAGTGCCAACATAACTTGATGCACACTATTGTTGCACCTTCATTGAATGTTCTATCCTGCTGCTTCACTTGGGCCTGGAGTGATGGAGACAGGGGAAGAAAAGATTCACTTCTACTCTATTCTGCCTGGTGGAGGGCTCGAGACTGCCCAGCATCTTGGGCCAAGCAGGGGAAATGACATTTTAGAGGTGTCAAGTATTTCTGCAGAATTTAGGGAGAAATCAGGTTTAGTCCTCAAGAGAAAATGGTGTCCCTTCTCTGCAGATATAACAAACTGGTGAAGTTCCATTACACAAGGGGCATAAGGTTTGAAGAGCCTGTGAAGGGGATGGAGACCCCTGAGAACAATGTGCAGCCCTTTACAGTGAACTTTGGTTTGGGGGGGGGTAGAGATAGGACCTGTGGATCAGCTATACATTGATTCACTTACCTTTGCTCCCCACGGAGAGGAGGTGGTATGAGGGCATTATGGAAATGACTGTAGTCTCAAGCAGGGCCGGCTCCAGGCACCAGCTCAGCAAGCAGGTGCTTGGGGCGGCCACGGGGAAGGGGCGGCACGTCGGGCTCTTCGGCGGCAATTCGGCGGCGGGAACCTCGGTTCCTCTCGGAAGGAAGGACCTGCTGCTGAAGTGTCGCCGAAGAAGAAAGCGGCAAGGTGGAGTTGCCGCCGATCGCAATCGCGGCTTTTTTTTTTCCCCCCCGCTGCTTGGGGCGGCAAAACCCCTGGAGCCGGCCCTGATCTCAAGGCCAAAGAGCAGCTGAAGTAGCTCTGCTGCTGCCCTAAGGAGGTATATGTTCTCTCATACCTCGCCATCTTTGCCAACCCAGGCTATGTAGACTTAATACTGGGGACTAGAACCCAGGACCTTCACAACCAAAGCACTGGCCTCAACCTCTTGAGCTAACAGAATGATTAAGAACAGGTGTTACATCCCACTTGAGAGGGATGTAACACACTTAGCCAGTGTGTCACACATACTAGTTTAAAAGAAAAGATTTGCTAGCCAGACTCCCCATTAGAAAAAGTTGAAACGTTCATTTTGACATTTTCTAAATGAAATGTTTCAACATTTTAATCCAAAACCACTTTTTGCTTTGAATCTTACTTCCATGTTGTTGGTTTTTTAAAAGGTAAAAACACCCCAAAACAAAATGAAATGAAACATTTTGTTCAACCTGTAATGAATTTTTTAAATTTTTTCAGTTAGCTGAAAAATTCAAAAACATTTCATTTCAGATTAATCTAAAATGACTTTTCCCCCTCTTTTTCGGTTTGGCCGCTGAACTGAAAAACTGATTATCTGCATGCTCACATAAGGACTACACACTAGCATAATTTAGGCATGTGTTTATGTACTTTGCTGAATCAGGGCCTAAACAACTTGGCCCATCATTTTTCATAGATGCAGAAATCATAGAGTGACAAAATACAACCAATTTTTCAAATTCATTAACAATTTAAGCTAAATATGAGATTAAATCTGGCACCAATAGAAAAACTAGCATCCATAGAAAGAAAAAAGTGTCTTTTGTAATGATCAAAGGCATTTTTATGCTCTTACTGAGTGCAAATAACCCAGGTTCCTGTGCTCTTGTTATTAATCTATATAATGTCTGCATTGCCATTAATCTACTCCTTTCTACAACTTCACAAGTAATTCAATAATAAAAAATTTTGCTTAGTTCTGCAGATTCACTTTGGCTCGTCTTTAGCAGCACCTTACATGATTGCTGGGGACAGATTAGTAACTGTTCGATTAAGAGTGGGGGAATAGGAGTGGAAACACAGCCAAAAACTTTGACTATATCATCATGTTGCAACAATGTTCTTTTGACCAAGTGAAAGAGACTAGTGAAGGACAGGACAGTTGGTTAGTGCTTGCTGTGGCAGCGTGATTTGGAATACAAAAAATGAATTGATACGAGTTGCATTCCGATGACAAGCATATTTTGATTTTGATTTTGATTTTCTGCTTGTCTTGGCAGGAGAGGAATGTATTGAGATCTTATACTTGATTTGTGTCTATTCATACTTTCATAGATTTTAAGGCCAGAAGGTATTTATGATCATTCTGTCTGACCTCCTGTATCACGCAACTCATGGAACTGCACCCTGTCATTCCCGTAGACTTCATCCAAATGAGAGGAGCCACAGAGCAGTGTCTTTCTGATGTTCATTTAACATTCACCAGAGTTAGTGTTTTATATGAGAAACTCAGTCTAATGGAGAAAGGAACTCCTTCATAAAGATCCCAAGATGTTGTTGTTAAAGTTATCGATAATGGATGTTGTTTCAGTTATAGTAAGTAGTAAGCTTCTGGGCTCCTTTATGACATGTCTAGAAGCCTTAGGGTGATGAGAATCTGACATCTAGGTTTGTGAGAGAAAAAATCTTAATGCTGCCATTGCATCAATGCACCAACCTTTCACTTGCTGCTCAGGCCCCCTGGTATGGCTTGCTACTCCAGGCATGCTGACGTTGTTCCTGTGAATGTACTTGAGGAATACTTCAGCGTTCCTTCGTGCTAATGTGCAAGCCTATGGAAAACCCCCCAGAGAAGAGTTACCATTGCAAAAGTAAAAATAAAACAAGAGGAAATTTATTAAATAATGAGTTTTTCTCTTGACCTCCAGAAGCAGGTGCTCATACATGAAAGAATTCTGGAGAATAACATCTGACAGTCACATGTTCCACACATCACCTACTAAACTAACAATCTCATGGATGGTGCATTACACAGTATTAACTATACCTGGCTATTTAGAAACAATGGCTGATTTAATTTCCTGAAGCAAATTAATTATGATAATAAAGTAACTGTGCAAAGATCGGGTACAGAGCATACATTTTTAATCTAGCAGAAATCGACTGATAAATTTATGAATGTGATTGTATGGTAGGGTTGCCTGCGATAACAAGGACTGAACTTGATGACACAGGAGGCCCCTTCCAGTGCTATGTGCCACATAATGCCTCATGAAATTTGCTCATTGCATACCACAATGAGTGATCTATATATTTCACTTTTTAAGATTGGCCTATGTGAGTAGTTTCAAATAAGTATAGTCATTTGTAATGGGTGGCAGGCTCTTGGCAAGTTGACATTCAAGCCAACCAGCTCAGCAGCTCATATGGTGTAACACCTGGATGGCAGGCAGAAAGCCCAGAATCAACCCTGGTGCTGCCCTGTGGAGGTGAAATCTACTTCATGCATCTCTAATTCATTAGTTACATGGAATTCTGAGCATTGTAAATAAGCACATATGAAATGCCTTGTACTATCGGGTATTTTAAATTTTCACAATAAATAATTGTGCGAACAAATAATATTTAGCGCTTGTGTAGCAACTAACATGCTCCAACTGTAATGCAAACATTCCCTAATTAATCCTTGCAATGCCTCTCTCAGATAAGTATAACTATCCCCATTATACAGGTGGGAAACTTGCCCAGAGGTTACATAGCAAGTCAGTAGGAGAGCTGGGATTAGAATTTAGAACCTCCCGCCCTGCAAGTGCAAAAACATTGCTCTAAACTGCTCTGCCTACTATAATAATACTTAATAATCCTGTTCTTCCAAGCCTGAAAGAGTTTCCGAGCAATTACAGAAGTAAGACTGGACCTTGAGAAAAGCCTCCTTCTGTTCCAGATGCTTGCTGATAAGGGGGATGACATGGTCTATCTCAGCTGCTGGTCCAAGCTTATCCCGACCTCCGCACCAATCTTCATCCCTTCTGTACTCCTGTTCCAGACTCTCCAGCACACTGCACACCTGAAGAATGGCCCCAAAACACAGCAGCTCAGTTACCGGAGTCATAATCAGCAACATAAAGATTCATTAAAAGCTGATTAGCTCACTGTTAGACCTGTCAAAAGTGTTTCACAGATAAGTATTTGGGATCTCAGTCCATGGGAGCAGTGCCATCAGGGAGTGTTGGATATATGGGTGCAAAGGGCCTCTTCATAGAAGGCCCTATCATCCATTCTTCACACTAGGGATCCCTGCAATTTGGAGCTGTGGTCTGTAACTCATCCTGATTAAGGAGGAGAAATCCTACTCCCCCTCTAAGGAATAACAGGTGAGAAACCCTGAGGTTTATACTGGGATAGAGTTCCATCCGGCCCCAGAAGATCATTCAGGAAATGATCCCTATTCAGGAAAGGTGCTTTGACATGTGCTTAATCCCACTGAAGTCAACAAGATTTAGCACATGGTTGAAATCAAACACATGCTTAAATACTTTCCTGAAACAGAACCTAAATCTGGAATTAATTTTCTTCAGCTGCACATTAGGTCTTGTCTGTGGCCAGTTTCTGTAACAGTTGTTTAGAAAAGGTTATAGTTTAAATTGGTGTAACCCCTCAGTGTTGATGCGGTTATACTGGTATAAAGCTGCTTACCTATAGCTTACTCTGGTAAATTTACCGGAATGAGCCAACTAAACCCCTATAGTTAAACAGTATGAAAATGGTGTGCAGAGCAGCCCTTAACAGCAACAGAGCTTTTGCTACTGTGAAAAGACTGCATGCGGATAGTGACAGACTGGGATTCTAAGTGCCCTACCACCCATGTGCTAAATCCCATTGACGTCAAAAATATGTCCTTCAAACATTCTCCCAAATTTTCAGTGAAGTTGGATTTGACCACGTTCACACGTTCTTATACACTTCCCACTAATATTCATCTGAACAAGGCTAATGTTCAGAGGAAGCTTCTATTTGTGAGAATGTCTGTGTGCAAATGTGCATGTTGACACAAGGACACTTATTTGCGCAGGAAGCGTGCCAGGTGCTGTACACAGAATAAGCATTTGGCTTACCTGCTTTTTATTTTGGGGTTCTTGAGGGCATCGAAATGTTTTGGAGTACTGGCCCTGAGGCAATTAACCAAACAAGATGAACAGCGTTGTGTACATGCCTTTCACAAATAGGACTGCCTCATATATGCAAATGTCATTACTCTTTGTTACCATGATGAGGAAAGATTAGCATAAAGTCTGTTGTAAACACAGTCAGGAAGGAACTAGGATAACTTTAAATCAGGGGACCAGAGGGGTAGCCAGAACAGCCTCTGTGGAACAGAGTTATGGAAAAGTTCAAACATTTCTTACAATTCCCTAGCTCTAGCATCTCTCCCACAGCTGCTCCCTACAGTGTTCCCCACTCCCTTTCTGAGAGTATCAAAGCCCCAGTTACTTATTCAGGCTATCCTCCTGTGTATAAAAATTATTGTCATCTAATCAGGAAACAGAAACACCATGTGACCTAGATGACCAATCAAATAGCCTGATTGTTGATGAACGATTACTTGCAGAGAACAGTTTGTGAGCTGAACTATCTTCACACCAAACAGTCACTGAATAAAAGCAACCAATGAGCAAACTGCTGGACATGGCAATATGCTCATCTAAAACTTGCAAGTGGAAAAGGGTCTCGATTTGACAAATAAACTACATATATTTCGGCCAGCGTGTCTCACTGCATAAGGCACCAATGTGTCCCTCAGTGGGTTTTTTTCTCAGATCCCTTTAGCAGCGGTAGCTCATTTCAACCCTATGTATACTAAGGAGAGTAACCGGGTTCAAAAGTCTTGCCAGCCAAAGGCACATGTAACAAGGTTTGCATTTACATTGAACATGGTTACAAATGCATTAAACAAACCATGTTGGAGACTAGCCAAGGGGTAGTTGTAACATGGGGGCGTTAGAAAAAATCCCTGTCCATAATGGACAAGAAACTGTGCTACCATCAAATCAACTACACCCATTACAGGGCATGGTTCTGCTCCTAATGTGGCAGGTCCTGACAGGGCTGGCACTCTCAACTGCATGGACTAACTGCAGGGATCAATGTAAATAAATCACTGTTTCCTTTTGTATACCCAACCCAAAGATATGCAATGTCCACGCCAGCACAAACTGCATGATTGTGCTAAGTTAAACCATGCAATGCCATCTGAGCATCCACATGAGAAGCCCTGGGGTAAACAGACCTAATTCCCATTGACCTCAATAAGAGTTGCACTTGTTTATGCAAGGGATGAACTAATCCAACCATACCAGAAGCCAGTTCGCATGCACTTTGCAATATATAGACTCCTGGAACAAGGCAAGGTAGAGCTGATATATGATTCTTACCATGGTGTACATTGTCTTGCCCTGTACTACTGGGTTAGGAGTAGCCACTCTATAATTTATTTCCTTATTTTTTTGGTACCAGGATGCCTAACTAGTATTGATACTTCAGGCCAGGGCTCATCAAAAATTGTAAATGTTAAGTGGTAGCAATTTAAAAGGAAAGAAACAAACAGAGCCCTTTACAAAATATTTGAAATGAAACAAAAAAAAATAATCTAAATTCTAAACAAAAATATTGTGGTTTCAGGCTCTTTCCCTCCTTCATCCCCTTTCTCTTTCCCTTTTTCCCCCTGGGGGAAGGGGAGAGAAAAAACCCCAACTCAATATTGTTCATATCATTTTAATGAAAAGAAGAATGGGGGCAGGGGAACAAAAGTTTTCATATAGTTCAACGTGACATTTATCAAAAAAAACCTTTCAGATGCAACAATTTTGACCAGCTCTACTTCTGGGTTTTGTGCCTGATATTCCAGACTCTCCATCCATACCTTGGGGACTACTCAAGATAAGGTAGAAGAACCCTAAAGCTGAAGCTTTGTGCTATGCCCCAGAAAGCTACCATGGCCTGCAATTGTGAAAGGGGATTGGGAGCCAGTCAAGGTCCTCTGCAGATTAGAGAGTAACCAAGTGACTAGGAGGCAGATGGCACTAGTTGGTACAATCAAGACCTTTCCTGTTTAGGTTGGGAACCAGCTATGTTAGTGTATATACTAGGACAATATCGTTCAGCTCACCTGCTCAGAGGTTTTATAGAAAGCAACTGACGCATTGACCAACTTGAGCCTGTCCTCCATCTTCAACATCAGCTGTTGCCAATGTAATGCCACCTTTTCAGCACACTCACGGATGGCATCAGCATCGTAGTGCCCAGCCTGTAGCAATACTTCAGCCTTCTGCTGTACCTGCAGAGCACTCTGGTGTGTCTTCTGTAAGGAAGTGGCATGAAAGAGGGACTGTGTATGAGGGGAGGAAAAAGAGGTTTGTACAGATGTACCAGGTGTATGGTAAAGAGATGAAGCGAGGTGTGAGCATGGAGATGCAAGAGAGTGAAACATTTTCAGAAAATTTTCTAGAATTAACATTTATTTTTTATAAAGCACTTTGGTGCACCTTATTAACACAAGTGCACAACACGTTGTTAGAGCAGGAGCAGCAAGCACTGGCGGATATATGGGTAAACTCCATAGATTAGCTACTGCCACTATGACAGTAACATAGGAATCCTGATGGAATTACACCCTTTTTGGTACCCAAAATTCAACTAATGGCAATCAGGAGCTATATCCGGCCTCCACACAGTGCCTAATGCTCCCCACTCTGGAGCAAAGGATGAAAGCAATCAGCAAATCTATAACAGTTAGCAAACTAAGGGCCCGATCCTGAAACATTTAAACTCATAACTTTACTCACATGAGTATTTCCATTAACATAAATGGGATTATTCATGTGAGTAAAGATATTCACTTGCCCAGGTGTCTGTGGGATCAGGCCCTAATATTCCAACCAATCAATTCCAGAAAATATGAAGGTGCCTTAAAGGGACCATTATCTCTTTTAATCTCTGTAAATGGCCATGCAAAATGTATTATTATTAATAATAGTGTTATTTCATAATTAGGGCTTCTTTTGGGGGGTTATTAATTTCATTTTTCAGGGTTAATTTTTAGCAATGTTTGAGTTTTATGTAGATGTCCAACAATTAGGGTTTTGGTACATACTGTAATGTACCTACTGTAATGAGTAACGTATATTATATACGTTACTCGTTACAGTAGTACAGGGGTTCTCAAATTTCATTGCACCGCGACCCCCTTCTGACAACAAAAATTATTACAGGACCCAGGAGGGGGGACCGAAGCCTGAGCCCACCCAAGCGCCGGCACCCCGGGGCAGGGGGCAAAGCCAAAGCCCCATCCCCCCCAGGCCGGGGGGGCCAAAGCTGAAGTCCAGTGGCTTCAGCCCCAGGCAGGGGGCCTGTAACCTGAGCCCTGCAAAAATGAGGGGGTTAGTTAAACAGAAATTAAAAGGTACAGTGACTAAAGTGAAATCCCTGCAAGCTGCATGGGCGCTTTTTAAAAACACCATAATAGAGGCCCAACTTAAATGTATACCCCAAATTAGAAACACAGTAAAAGTACTAAAAAAGAGCCACCGTGGCTTAACAACCATGTAAAAGAAGCAGTGAAAGATAAAAAGACTTCCTTTAAAAAGTGGAAGTCAAATCCTAGCGAGGTAAATAGAAAGGAGCATAAACACTGCCAAATTAAGTGTAAAAATGTAATAAGAAAAGCCAAAGAGGAGTTTGAAGAATGGCTAGCCAAAAACGCCAAAGGTAATAACAAAATGTTTTTTAAGTACATCAGAAGCAGGAAGCCTGCTAAACAACCAGTGGGGCCCCTCGATGATAGAGATAGAAAAGAAGCGCTTAAAGACAATAAAGTCATTGCGGAGAAACTAAACAAATTCTTTGCTTCAATCTTCACGGCTGAGGATGTTAGGGAGATTCCCAAACCTGAGCCGGCTTTTGTAGGTGACAAATCTGAGGAACTGTCACAGATTGAAGTGTCACTAGAGGAGGTTTTGGAATTAATTGATAAACTTAACATTACCCAATAGTTCTGAAAGAACTCAAATGTGAAATTGTGGAACTATTAACTAGGGTTTGTAACCTGTCCTTTAAATCGGCTTCTGCACCCAACGACTGGAAGATAGCTAATGTAACGCCAATATTTAAAAAGGGCTCTAGAGGTGATCCTGGCAATTACAGACCGGTAAGTCTAATGTCAGTACCAGGCAAATTAGTTGAAACAATAGTAAAGAATAAAATTGTCAGACACATAAAAGAACATAAATTGTTGGGCAAAAGTCAACATGGTTTTTCTAAAGGGAAATCGTGTCTTACTAATCTATTAGAGTTCTTTGAAGGGGTCAACAAACATGTGGACAAGGGGGATCCAGTGGACATAGTGTACTTAGATTTCCAGAAAGCCTTTGACAAGGTCCCTCACCAAAGGCTCTTACGTAAATTAAGATGTCATGGGATAAAAGGGAAGGTCCTTTCATGGATTGAGAACTGGTTAAAAGACAGGGAACAAAGGGTAGGAATTAATGGTAAATTCTCAGAATGGAGAGGGGTAACTAGTGGTGTTCCCCAAGGGTCAGTCCTAGGACCAATCCTATTAAACTTATTCATAAATGATCTGCAGAAAGGTGAGGTGGCAATGTTTGCAGGTGATACTAAACTGCTCAAGATAGTTAAGACCAAAGCAGACTGTGATGAACTTCAAAAAGATCTCACAAAACTAAGCGATTGGGAAACAAAATGGCAAATGAAATTTAATGTGGATAAATGTAAAGTAATGCACATTGGAAAAAATAACCCCAACTATACATACAATATGATGGGGGCTAATTTAGCTACAACAAATCAGGAAAAAGATCTTGGAGTCATCGTGGATAGTTCTCTGAAGACACGCAGTGTGCAGAGGCGGTCAAAAAAGCAAACAAGATGTTAGGAATCATTAAAAAGGGGATAGAGAATAAGACGGAGAATATATTATTGCCCTTATATAAATCAATGGTACGCCCACATCTTGAATACTGCATATAGATATGGTCTCCTCATCTCAAAAAAGATATACTGGCACTAGAAAAGGTTCAGAGAAGGGCAACTAAAATGATTAGGTGTTTGGAGAGGGTCCCATATGAGGAGAGATTAAAGAGGTTAGGACTTTTCAGCTTGGAAAAGAGGAGACTAAGGGGGGATATGATAGAGGTATATAAAATTATGAGTGATGTGGAGAAAGTAGATAAGGAAAAGTTATTTACTTATTCCCATAATACAAGAGCTAGGGGTCACCAAATGAAATTAATAGGCAGCAGGTTTAAAACAAATAAAAGGAAGTTCTTCTTCACACAGCGCACAGTCAACTTGTGGAACTCCTTACCTGAGAAGGTTGTGAAGGCTAGGACTGTAACAGTGTTTAAAAGAGAACTGGATAAATTCATGGAGGTTAAGTCCATTAATCATCAAAGGGGTAGCTGTATTAGTCTGGATCTGTAAAAGCAGCAAAGAGTCCTGTGGCACCTTATAGATTGGGGTAGGCAACCTATGGCACACGTGCCGAAGGTGGCACACGAGCTGATTTTCAGTGGCACTCACTGCCCGGGTCCTTGTCACCGGTCCGGGGGGGCTCTGCATTTTAATTTAATTTTAAATGAAGCTTCTTAAACATTTAAAAAACCTTATTTACTTTACATACAACAATAGTTTTGTTATATATTATAGACTTATAGAAAGAGACTTACCTTCTAAAAACATTAAAATGTATGACTGGCACGCGAAATCTTAAATTAGAGTGAATAAATGAAGACTCGGCACACCACTTCTGAAAGGTTGCCGATCCCTGTTATAGATCAACAGACGTATTGGAGCATGAGCTTTCGTAGGTGAATACCCACTTCTTCGGATGCATGTGAAGAAGTGGGTATTCACCCACGAAAGCTCATGCTCCAATACGTCTGTTAGTCTATAAGGTGCCATAGGACTCTTTGCTTCTTTTACAAGTCCATTAATGGCTATTAGCCACGATGGGTAAGGAATGGTGTCCCTAGATTCTGTTTGTCAGATGGTGGAGATGGATGGCAGGAGAGAGATCACTTGATCATTACCTGTTAGGTTCACTCCCTCTGGGGCACCTGGCATTGGCCACTGTCGGTAGACAGGATACTGGGCTAGATGGACCTTTGGTCTGACCCAGTACAGCCGTTCTTATGCCTTAGCTTGGCCCCCAGCTTGGGCCCCAGCAAGTCTAAGCCAGCCCTGGTGACCCCATTAAAACGGGGTCACGACCCACTTTGGGGTCACGACCCACAGTTTGAAAACCACTGCAGGAGTATATACTGTACCGAGTAATCCTTTTGTAATGTTTCCTAGTGCACTTTAACATAATACAGTTTCAAAGAGCACTATGTTAAAGAGCACTGGGGAACCTTTAGTGCACACCAGACCAATTCATGAACAACATATTAGTGCGCTTTAGAAATCACATCCCGTAATCTGCATTATTGCTCCATGTAGACAAGCCCATAGATACAAGTACCAGTTTCCAGTGTTTATTGGCTAAACACTGGTTTCATTTATTGTTTGTTGGGAGTGTTTTATTGCTGTTTATCAGTTAAAACCTAAAATCAGAAGCCCTATTAATAATTCATAATAGAATTTGAGCCACCTGGATGAAAAAAAGTTGCACTAGTCTTTGAAGATCTTAGTGATCTTGACTCCCCATGCCTTGTAACATCTAATAATAATGTACCACAATAATATTTCATGTCAGATACGTTACTGTAAGGGGAGTTGCAGTCACACCACCCCGGGGAATGCCAGGAGACAAGAGTACCTCCTGGAGTCCTCTGGCTGTGCTGACTGGAGGAGTAATTTACTACAATAATTGAAGGCTTTTAGGGCAGTTGCTCAGCTATGAAGGCCAGGGTGTAGGAGGGACAGAATCATGAATCCACACACTCCTCATCCTTTTTCATAGCTATTACTCCCAGGGGGAGCAACAGAGTAGCAGACTCTGCACACCCCTGAGTGCGAGGGCAGCCCTTAGGCAGGCTGCCAAGATGAAGAAGTCCCCTAAGTCCTTCCTCCCTCACCTGGCATGTCTGCACGGAGGGGGCATTGTTTAGCTCAATATTTTGATTAACCTTCTGTAAGGAAACCCAAGTCTCCTAAAGACACACCTAGTCTTTTTTTTCATTTTTAACTGTTAATGCCAAATTCACACTTGATACATTTATGATCTAATCCCTGAACCAGGAAAGGAGCTTGAAAATGTCTGGTAATATGCTGTTGAATAATGCAATGTAGAGAAAGCTATTAGCAAAAAGGATTAATAGTTGGCAGAAACATTTAGGAAGACGTTCAAGAACAACTGGTTGAATTTAATATCCAGCTGCTTTACTGCTGTTAAGGTGGTAAAGCTTATTTTAAATACACTTTAAAGAATTTTAAATGAAAATGAATTCAACATCTAGAAAACCTTTAGAGGCCTGTCTCTGCCCTGTGTGCTTTGCAGATCTCTCTCACACGTTGAGCTTTAAACACTATTCATATTTAATCTAGTGTTTTCTCCTTTGCAAACTTTCTTCCCCTACAATGTTGTAATCCTTTTCTCCCTGTGTGGCTCGCATTTACCGCCGAATACAAGTGTCTTCCCAGTGGTAGCAAGCTGTGATACACAGACAGTGTGTATCCTTCCCCACAGTGCTGTCTGCCTAATGCTGCTAAGATCTAGTCAGCACAATTCAGTGCCAACCAGCTGATACAGAATTGCCACCCTCCCTCTACCCCAGATACTAAACTCTTGCTTTTCCCGCAGGGAGCAACATCAGTGAAGAGCTGCTTTTTCCTTAATCCTAGCAGAATTGGATCAAAATTGGTTATTTGCAGAGATTATAACCCCTAAACCAACTAGCAACACTGATAACATATGTCAGTTTCCTTAAAGTTTACAGGAACATATAATGCAGTTTCTACTAAGCAAAGTACTCTCCCAAACCTCCCTCTATGGAGATGTTATTTTCATAGCAATTGCAAGTTTGACACTAGCTAGTTTTTTTGTTTTGTTTTTAACTCATTTTGATTACAAGGGGAGACCTGAGGAAAGCCAGCATGTTCCTTCACCCATGAAAATTGTAACCATTAGAGTAATAATCTAGGGGATTAGACACGCCTTAATCAGCATGAATGGGAGAAGGCAATACATCCCTTAGTAAGTCACCAGTATAATATCAAATGCAATGACAGATGGTAATCACATTGCTTAATGCAGGACTGGAAGATGCTGATACACTACGGTGTTGAGTGAAATATAAAAACATATTCTATAAATCTCCATACTAGGGCAGTATAACTCTGTGCTGTCCCATAGACAGGGCTTGTGGCAAAACCACAATTTAGACAACAGTTAGTACAAACTTTACTTCTCTGACAAAACAATATTTTAGGCGAGTTCTTCTTTACTGAACTTCCCCTGTTCATTCCAAAACAGCAGAATTAAGTCAGACAGAGATTTCATCTGAGAGGGTGCTTTAATATTCAGTGATGAATATATTCAGAATGGTGGGTCCTGGAAATAATCTACAAATCTTGTTCTCAGAAAGAAACTGACTTTGTGAACTTTTCCTATTTCAAGTTCACTCCCAAGAATTTTAATTTGGTCATAACATTAGCAAAGGAATTACCAGGATGTGTGTGTCTGGAGTTTTCAAGAATGCCACTGTTTACATCTGACAGCAAAAGGACTAGCTATTGATGATAAATAATTTATGTCACTGTTAACCTCCTGCTACCTTATGAGGTTAGTGGTAAATTGCCTTTTCAAAGATTATTTTTTCTTTTTCTTCAAGCAGACAATGGTTTGATATATGCCTGAGAGCCAGTCCCATCTATACTGTTCATCTTGGAAAGAGAAGCAAAATGTTCCCATTGGGGTTACCTCGATGGCCAGTTGAAATTGCTCATGTTCTCGCTGGAGCTGCTCAGCTTCTGAAAGGGAGCTTGCGTTGACTAGGCTGGCATTGAGCATTGATTCCCCATTTCGAATCCAGCCGAGCACCTGCACAGAAAGGATATGTTGAAAGGTTAACTTGATCTGATTGTCCATGCAGTCACAGAGTCTCCTAATGATTCAGCCCACCTGAAGAAATGTATTTTCCTTAACATGGTCTGAGTGCAAGTCAATCGGCAGAAGATAAATCCTTGGATAAGGACTGACTTCATTACATAAATAATATTAATTGTCAAAGAGACAAAAGGTCACACTGTAGAAGTTATTGCTTGAAAAATTATAAGACATTGCAGGAGTATTTAGATGGCAAGAAGTGCCCAGTGTCATCTGAAGCTTTGATTACAAAAGTGAATATTCCTTTGTGTAAATGCCATGGGGCAGGACTGCAAAGGGTAACAGGGCAGAGTTCAAATTAGACAGGCTCTTCCACTGCTTTTTCAAATTCCTGTCCATATTTATGTTTGAAAAGTCACATTTTCACCTTAAAAGCTGCTTTGTTGTACTTACATCTTATTAGCAAATAAAACAGTTCTTAGCAAAGTGTCATAGAGACCAGGAGCATGATTCTGATCTCACATTTAAATGAAATCAGGGTCAGGCCTATTGACTGTAGCTAGCAATGTGAGCGCTCATGCCCTGTACTGTATTTTTTTAACCACCAAGCTTCTGGCACAGGATTAGATGAAAGGGATGGTTTGTCAGGTCCCATGGAAACTCATGGTTTGGATGCTTCTTAGGAACTGTCTTCATATTTGCTGAAACAAAAAATGAGCCTATTTCTACATGAGAGTTTGACTAGTTTTTATCAAAACATCCCTCTCCCCTCAATGTGAACACCAAGAAATTTGGAGGAAGGTTAGGTATGATCTGGATCACAGTCCAAGATCTAGAACTCAGGCTCACCTCTACTGTTGACCATAGCCATGTCTGAACACATTCTTGATAGCAGTATGCCAACAATTCCTTGACCAATGTGGACAAATTCTTCTATAGACAAGGGCCCATGGATTTTATAAACAAGGAACCCCCTTTACTCTATAGCATGGGTTTGTAACAGTTTATCCCTGTCTACACTGCAGGAAACCATATTAGCAAACACAGACTTCAAGGATGCTTCTTGATTACATTGTTTCAAAAAGGAGTGTGTCCTGTCTCCACAGTAACCCTAGTGACAGTGAACTCTTTTAGGCCTGTAGCTATCCCACCCTGAACTGTGATCTCATTGTCATAGTATTCAGCCTTCCAAAAGTTCTCCATTTATCCTTGCTTGTCCTGTTCATTTTAACTTTCTTGTTTGGACTAGCATGGATCAGGTGGGGCACAATGAGGTATTCCTTCAATTTGCACTTAAGAACTGCAGTTCAGGTCCACTTCTGCTTGATTTCAATGTGCATTGTTTCTTCTTACACATTTGCACAGAGTGCAATTTCCATCTTCATTCTCTAATCTTACTCCGATTCTTATTCTGCACTTGTACAGTTTAGCCCCCCGCCTCCTTGCTACGTAAGTATATTTGCACTTATCTAAGAATAATGCAAATATGCTTGATAGTCTCTTGGACATTAATTTTCTCAAGAATGTAAGTGAACAATTCCCCCACCCCAGATCATTATGGGCCCAATCCTGCTACCTTTACTGATGTTGAATAGTATCCTATTCTGCAAGTAATCCCACAGGTTTCAATAAGGGCTTGAATCAAAGCCCACTGAAGTCAGGAAATATCTTTCCATTGGCTTCAATGGTTTTGGATCAGGTTCTTAGACTACTTTTGGAGTAAGGCAGAATTGGGCTGTATATATATGTATGACAGATTTACCAGAACATTTTTTTAAAACAGTAGAAATGCATTCTGCTATTTTAAAACATTTTGTCCAAAAATAATCACTCAAACTGCACAGGTAAGTTCCTGGATAAATTTGCCTACAACTCTTAGTCCTATTTTCTGTTAATGTAGCTGCAAATTATTGCAAGAAATCCAGCCTTATTTGGCAAGTTGTTACATCTAGTTCACAAATTCACAGGAAATCCTTACTGCCCAATCACTTTCACAAATGTAGCTCATGAGCTATACAGCTTTGAAATCCAGTAACTTTGGTTTACCATTCTAGATAGCAATTTATCTTTTCTCCCCCCCTCCTCCACAGTGATTCATTCAAGTGCCTTAAAGGAAACATTTTTTCCCCTCCCTATATCATACATCACCCTCCTCACAGCCATTTGCCTCCCTCTGGGATAAGGAAATTAGTTGTCCCTAGGAGGAAAAAAGGGAACGAGTCTACACATGTAGCTGACCCTAATTTGTAGAAAATAGCATTCTGCTCAAGTCAGCAGTAGGGCAGTCTTGATCTATCAGCTCTCTCTCTTTCATCAGCAGGTGCTACTGTTGCTGTGGAAACACAACAGAGATTCTGAGAAAAAGGAAAGGGATTATCACACAACAATCTTTTTGTCTATGATTTTGTATAATCCCCCAGACCAGTAAGCCCGTGTGTTACAAACTACACTGTACCAAGAGTTGAAACTCTGTCTCTTTTAGGAAGGAATTAACTAAAGGATCACCATGGCTGGACAAGATATGAAGTGACAACAGCATAAACCAGCAAACACTTTCACGTTTTTGCTGAACTCCTGGCTGACCTGGGCCGGTGTGATTTTTTAAAAAAAAGGAGTATTTCTTTTAGAAAAGCAGTAGCTGAGCATAATCATTCTTTTTAAAAAGCCATCAGAATGTCATAGGGAATTTTAGGAAGCAGCCTTCATTTATCAAACCTTTAAGCTGAAATTTTCTAAAATATTAGATTTAGATGCAGAATTATTTTAGGAATTTGTCTCTCTAAATCCCCTCGACAGCTTCAGAAACCTCAGCCTTAAAAGTCAGGTTGACTGTAAACATAGGGCAATGGACTGGGTGACATAATAGGACTTACTTTCTAACATCTGTGGTAATGAGATATCCTCCATGTACTTGATCTCTCTGTGCAACAACCACCTTGACCCAATCAAATCAGTAATTTGCATCTTAAAGCAGAGTTCTGTTCTTCCGTCCTGTCAGTCATGTTACGTTTACACAATGGCTCTGAAAAAACCTACTTTAAAAAAATGGCAAATGCCTGACCTAGCCCAATAAACACTGGAAATTTAAGTGGTACAGCTGTCACTCTGCCCTTCATCTGTCTGAAAGCAGGTGAACACACATACTATATGTGCTGCAACTAAAAATGGTTAGCGGGGTTAGGCATGGCATTTCAGCCTTGATTCTTCATTTCCTGGAGTCTGTTGGCTTCATTCAGAGCTCTCTCATGTGACACTTTTACCAAAATTTTTGGTTAAATTTTCTTCTCATGAAACTGAGGTACTAACAATATTGATGAAAGCCAGGTAGAGTACCTACATGGCTTAGGGCAGGCTCTTCCACTCAGCTATTCTGTGAACATGAGTCTGTTCTGATTGGTCAGGTAAGTCAAAAGGCATGATTTCTGCTCCCTAATTAGAAGAATGCACAAGTACTTAAAGTGCAAATATTCATGAATGTAAATCAGTAAAACTCAAACACTTGTGAAAACCATTTGCATGAGCAAAATGGATTTGTTAAAAATTGCAAGTTGAATATTCACAGATGTTTTGCAGTATTCACTGACATCTAGTAGTAACACACTATGCTACTCTACCATCTAGTAGCAACACTAGTCTGCACTCTACTTTCCACTGATATCTGTGTAAGGAAGATTTGGGAAGCAGCAGGAGGAGACAGAAAGGTCAATTGTATACTGCACATTCTAATCATCCTCAGATCTGTGGATCCTATGATTCTCCTTAATTTCAGTGGAAACTAAAACTTTATGCAGCTCTGAAAATGTACTATCTAGTCTTCAGAGATACAAAGCTAGATCCTGATCCTGCAAATGTTTACAAGTCATGTTGTTAAAGAGAAGCGTGTATGTAAATGTTTGCAGGATCAAAGCACAAGTGCTTTAACTTAGTGCCTCACTGATCCTCTCAGCTTCCCTCCTGTTGTTAGTATTTTAACATACTTTTTTGCTGTGTCCCATTTGTTTAAAAACAATAACAGCCATTGCCCCCATGGTCTAGAGTGTCTATATTTAGCACACCTGATCAATACCAGCTAAATTAATTGCCTAAGTCTAAATGCCAACTACTTTGAAATCAATATTTTTTCTGCTTCACCAACTTCTCACAAATACAATTGTCTTTTATGTTGCCCAAGTTAACAAAACAACTGAAATAAACAACTCAGTAATAATGATTACGAGAAATTATTCTAAGCGTCTAAGTCAGACTATAAATCAGAGCTCACTTTATATGCACTATAGCTTGTTGGAAGTTTACCAGCAATGTAAAACCTTCCATCCTGTACTCACTGCCTTCATTTTTCAATTCAGATTTGTGTATCCTTATATTTCCAGTCAGAAAGCTTCAACAACAATTTCTGAGTTTGTAAGTAATGTAAAGAGTAGCCTTGTCATCACCACTCCTAATTGTGATGCTGAATAATTTTTGATGTACTGTAACATTTGCAGTAGTTATTACAGCTAAGAAGGGAAATCACATCTGATGACTCAGGGTTCCAGGTGATTAGAAAGTTAGGAAGGACATTTTTATCCCTATGTACACTGTTGTATGATCAACAGCCTAGCTTTGGTTGGGGGAAAGGGCAGGGCTTAGCCTTTCTTTGAAGCACCAGGTACGGATTGCTGCAGGCAGGATATGAGAACTGATGGTCTGAACAGGTATGACAAATCCTTTGTTTTGAAGCCTGTGCAGTAATTATGTAAATTTCTAATCTAGAGTTAATCATCTTCACCTAAGCATCCTCATTTTTCTCCTTTCTGAAGCTTTGTACAAGTACTCTTTTGTGAAGTTGTTTGTAAGCAAAACTTGCACACAGGATAATTGTGTTAATTAGTATCAAAAAGAAGAAGATTTAAGCTACAAAAATGCTACAGTAATCTTCTAGTGGGTAATTTACAACATGAGTAGTAGAGATTAACCTTGCTATTTGGTGTATCACTAAAGTCTCGTTTAGCATAGCCCACCTTTTCTCATTTCCTTTCCTCCATGAATACTCATATTGTGTACAGACACACATTAGACTCTATCGCATGCCTGTTCCAGCTGCAGGACCAAAAGGAAAGTGAGGCTCAGTCAAATGCCCTCGGTCTGGTTTTCTTTATCCCATTTGTACCAACATGCCAGTTAACTGCAAGCTGCAGGCACTCTTGGATCAAAGGGCCGCAACATTCAAACCAGAACTTTGATGGCATCTGCTTTTCTCTGTGACTGCTTCATTTGCTCCTTCCTTTAAATGCTCAGCATCTCCTGGTCCTTCTTTTAGGGCCTTTTCCCCAGTGCCACCTTCTACCTCCTCTGGCAGGCCTGGTACCTCTCAGCTTCTCTTCTCTACTATCTCTTTCATTTCCCTGCAGTTTATCAGCTTCTCGTGATCCAACTCCATCACCCAGTCCACCTGATTTCACCAAGACTTCACAATCTACCATCCATAATGGCTGCAGAAGCGATAGCATAGTATAAACTCTTCTTTAACAGGGTGCAAGAGACATTCCCTTCACCCCATGGTGGTTCAGCTCAGCTGGAGTTTCTAGGACTGCCAGTGGTGCTAGGATCTCCTGGTCCATGTACTCCAGGAGCTAACTGTACTCAGGAGTGCAAGGCAGGGAAAGGCTCCTTGTATCCTTCCCCCAAGGCCCAGTGAGCAACCGTGCAGGTAGCCACAAACATACTCCATAATGTTTGCTGAGAACTCTGATGGCACAAACATATTCACAAATGCTCAGCATTGCTTATAGAAATGTACAGTTCTCAGCTGTCTAAACTTTTTTTACAAGTAATTTTTCCACCACGAATCTTTATTTTTTGTGTACATCTAGCAAGCAGAGCTTTTATTTGCATATCCAATGCTTCCTTGAGTACCCACCACAGCCAGGGCAAAAACCAATCACAAAGAGCCTTTTTCTCTGTGCATGTGAGTTGGAATTAGGACTGGGAAATGTTTGGAGGTGAACATTTACATATGTTTAATCTGGTTTACAAGACCTGTTCACAAATTGACTCAGACGTACATGGTACTTAATATTCTTTTAATTAAAATTTTGTATAGATGCTTCTAATATAGCCCCAAGACAATTCTCTGATCACTCTCCTATATTAATAGACTCGCTATTATCTGGGAATGTGCAGACAGGCTAACACTGAGAGATGGTCTTTAAACAGACATTTCCTACAAATTGCAGATTTTATCAATTTTGTTGAAGTGGAGATTAAATATTTCTGGAGTTAAATAACCCCCCTAAAAAGCAACAGAGAGTCCTGTGGCCACTTCGTCGGATGCAGGCATTCACCCACGAAAGCTTATGCTCCAATACATCTGTTAGTCTTAAAGGTGCCACGGGACTCTCTGTTGGTTTTTACAGATCCAGACTAACACGGCTACCCCTCTGATACATAACCCCCCTACGTCTCTCCAAAAAGGCCCAATCATTTTGCTTATGACTGAAAAGCAGTAACAGTGGAACCCTCTTAGAGCAAAGCCATCTCTCCCCTGCAGAATGATTTCACTGTAAGCGGAAGTTTCACTATAATTGTAATTACAATGCACTGAAACAATTATCGACTTCTGTTCCAATTGGCTATAAGCAGAGTTTCACTGTTTCTGTGTCCCACTGTAAATAAACGCGAAGGCCAAATTCTCCTCAGACTTCCAACTTGAAACTCCACCAATGAGGAAAGAAATTAATGTACAAGAATCTTTATTTTGCAGGTGATTCTCTTGCAGGTGATCTGAGGAGTTTCTTTCAGTATACCAGGGAAGCATCTGCCAGTCTTCAGCAAGGACACCTCCTGATAGTTATAGCCCAGCTCAAGTCTCTTCAGGTTTCCAGAGGCCTTTTTCTTCTATTAAACTGAAAAAAGTCAAGACCAGTTGCTTCATGTAGTCCTTTGGGTTACATTCAACTGGGATCAAATCTGAAGTGGACACCAAAGCTGGTGGTTTACAAGGCACACAAGAGGAAAGAATTAAACAGCAAAATGAGCTGGAGAGACAGGAACAGTGGGGCAGTGAGGGGAGATTGGGTACATTGGGTACTAAGAAAAGTAAAGTCTTACACCTAGGGAAAGGAAATAAATGCACAAATATAAAAACGGGGAACAGGAATGGAAAGCCAAACAGCTGCCAGCATTGCATTAAAGGGAATTTCTTTTAATCTTATCTCCTTAATACTATCCTGCTATTACTTCTGCATAAGCCTTCCACGTTCTATGGTTACAACAGGAAAGGGGGGGCGGGGGGAGAGGGGACACATCCTTGAGAGGCTCTCTTCCTTAATATGAAAGATTTTGTGAACCAGTGATCTATATTATTTCCATTCTGTTTCAGGTCACAGAGCATCACACTTTGAGATGTTCCACTTAAATGGCTCCAAACATGTATCCTCTTGGCATTCAAACCTGTGAAGCACGTGATTTAATGCAGAAACCTTTCCTAAATGAGACTTAAATAGATACAGACAGGAAAAAGACTTTGGATTTACATGAGCCATTATGTTAAAATGCAAACATATGTACGTGTTCCAGAACTTAGCCTAGTCTGCTGTTTCAGCACAATTTTACCAGAGCTACAGTAGGTGTCTGCGGCAACCAAATCTCAATTGACTCTCAAGAGCAAGTGCAATTTGGTAATGAGATGGAGACCATTCATTGTCTCAAGTGCTCTAAAAAGTGAAGGAAATTTGGACCAGACCAGCAATGAACAACAAGCCAAAATCAATATATTTTCCAATTTCACTAAGTGGTTGTGACTATTACTCATCCCCCGGGAAACCAAATACAGCCACCTTATGATAGGGCACAGATATATTTTAATTTGGCTCTTTTCAGGGGAAACTAGCTACAGTAATTGATAGGTTAATAAGGAATAGATTTTTCATTATTCAGCTGAACAAATACAATGATTCTTAGCCAAAGGCTTGCTGAAAGGTCACAGAGTAATGAAGGCTTTGATGGTTCAAATACTGTTAAGGAAACACTAATTCAAGACAGCTATTTGTGTTCCTCTTGCAGAAGTTAGACAGTTCAGTCCTATCACTTAGATTTTTAGATGTTTGGTTTGTAGAATATTCTAAGGCACAAGCCTGTGAATGAAATTAACCAATCCTTGCTTCTGAGACCCACAGCTTTAGTTATCCAGAGTGCAGCCATCACTTTATTTCTCTAAAAACTAATGTTGTAATAACGGGCCTAACCCAACCCCTTTTAATGTCAAGTGAAAGACTCACATTTACTTTACTGGGACTTGGATTGGGCCCAATAATAATAACATGTATTTCTAGAGTTTCTGTTGGGTGTGGTACTCTAGGTTCTAAACCAGTGCTGCTGTGCGCTATTAAATAGCCACCAGGTTTCATTTCAGAATTGGCTACATTGCAGTGAGTGAGATGCTTGTTGTAAATATAGTGTGTGAAATATTTTGGGTCCCTATAGAAAGAAACGCACTTTATAGACAAAGATATTATTAATAAAATAGAGCCTTCCATTCAGAAGGGTTCCAAAGCACTTTATAAACTCCACACACTTCATACTGCCACTGGAATGCCAGGTGACTATATTCTCAAAATTAAAAACTAGGAGACTTTTCTGTTTACATTTTTTAAGCTTGTGAACGACTCATACAAAAGTGCACTTTTTTTTAAACATGCACTAATGTCGCAACTGCCCGCTTCTGACTCAGTAGCCCCAAGTACATATTTCTCAGAGTGAAGGATTTTTGCCAGTAATGTAATGTTCTGAATCAGTTTCTCATGAAACATTGAACAAGTTAACATTCACTTTGTGCAAAAGAACAGCTTTGATAGAGTCTGTGCTCATTTGACTTTTCTCTGCACTCCGAACATTGAACACTTGTTCCACTGAACTCTTTTTTCTTGGTAAACACAGAGCATCTTTTACTCCCTAAAGTAATGTCATGAACAAACATTTGTAATTATTAAAAAAATAAACACCAAACATTTTCATTGATGAAATGGAAAACTGGGATATTTCAAGTGACCAGAAAGACATTCCCAGGGCATCCTATGAAAAAGCCAGACTGCCCCATTAAACTAGGACATATAGTCATGTCACTGAAATGCAGCCGCCTCTGGAGTGAAAAACTGCAGCTGTGCAGCAGCATGCAACCGTCTAGGACAGCAAGTGAGGAAATATTATACATCCAAATGAAGCTACTGGGAAATGTAGGTAGGCAAAACACAACTGACTGAGCTTTAATGTAATTGGGAATAGCAGACTAACACCCTAAAATTGTGAGATCCTAGGTTAAAGACTACAAATAGTCAGGGTTCTACATCTTAACCAAAGATGATAAACTTGGTTGAGCTCCCCACAGATCAGTAATAATGCAAAAAATTAAGTAAGGAGGCCAAACTAGAGTGGTGTTAGCTTTAGACCTGGGCATTGAGATATCCACTAATGAGACCAATGATCCACAATGCTTTCAGTTTGTACCCCAAATCCTTATATTCCCAGAGCACATTCTGTTCTGAAGAACACCCCAATCTAGAAACTATGGGGTCAGTTCTGCATGGACGGTGAACGTAACTCCCATAAATATTCATGGGGTCTTGCACATGCACAGAACATGGAACAGACTCCTCAGTTACTTGTAAAGGGTCATTTTAGAACCCGTGAATAGATCAAGTACTGCTAAAGAAAAGGATTAACACTCCATACACGTAAAGGGAGGCAATTTGACAGAAATGGTCTTAACAGCCTGCACGTACTGTAATTGCTTTCAAGACACGTTTAAGCCACCACAAAATGGTTTAATGGCTGTGGTAGAAAGCCTGACCTGCTTGACCTCAGCCTGTAGGTGCCGGAGCTGTAGGCACTGCTCTAGCCGTTTGTGAGTCTGATCGGCGTTAAGCTCTAGCTCATGCTGTTTCTCATGAAGGAACTCCAGCAGCTCTTGCACTTGTGTCGCAAGATCAATGTCCTTTTCGCAGATTAGTTCAATGCCTACAACAAAATGACATACAGAGAGAGAGAGAGAGACAATTTCATTTATTTGCAATTCCTTTTGCAGCACAATTCTGCCACCCGTCACATTGATTTGAATCTCTCTTGATTCTTGGTAAACTCTCACACAAACAACATATGGTTTACCCTGATGCACATGTTTGTTGAATCCTATGACTGTATTGTCCTGTCTATCACTGTGTGTATCAATAAAATGACATTTCTGTGTTGATTGCTCCTTGTTTTGCTCATCTGAAACTGTCCATACGGAAATGATTTGACTACAGCTTTGGTGATGTGGAACTGGGAATTTTAAAAAATACTTTATGAATTTTAACAAATCAAAGACTAAAATACTCCCCCAGCATTATGTTATTTCATTAATCAGTATCTTATAAACACATTCTTTCTTTGAAGAAAGAAAGAAAGAAAGACTCCTGTCCTCAATTTAGGATGGTAGTTGGGGGCCCACAATGTGGAGTGTGCCTAAAGTCTGTCTAGGTTCTTAGGGGACCATTAACACTCTTTTAATTTATACTGTCCTTTAGGTTGTTCTCAATTATGCCATGTGTCAAATCATTCCCAAACCAGGTCTAGAACTGGAGGCCTGAAAAAGTGGCTTAGTGCCCCCTTCCCCAATCCCTCAAAGTCCAGCATTGAATATGCTCCACTGGACCAGAGGATCTGGCTCACTGTGTAACTGTCCGAAGAAAAACAATGCAGAGCAGTATACTGTCCTCTTTGATTTGCAATTTCACCAGTGTAACTGACAGACTTTGGCCAGAGTCTTTATTTGACATTCCACACTACTGTAATCCATGTAATCATAAATCAGTAAGGCCTGATCCGTCTCCCATTGAAGTTATTTAGAATGTTGTTATTGGCTTCAACAGTAGCAGGATCCTAATAATTATAATAATCAGATTCAAGTAAGTGTGAGAAAACACTGCACTGTTCTCCAAAGCCATTTGATTATATAAAATAAAACAAGATTAAAAAAAGGACACCTCCCCTTCCCCCGCGCGACTGAAAGCTGTTGTACAGGAAGCAAGGAAATTATGTTTCGAGGCATTTAATGTGAAGCACCTTTTCTATGTCCCAGTGGTCCATGACTTTTACCTTCTGTCACAGTGATATCAGCAGAGGACAGAATTAGAAACCAAATCAACCCTGCGTCAACCCTACCTCTTCCAGTTTCTGGTTTTATCATGAAAGCCACATCGGCGTGAAACTGATTGGCTGATTCTCTTTCCCAGCCAAAACAAAACAGCTTTTTCATTACCAAATAAGGTGGAATGGCTCCAGGCTTCACATTTAGGGTCTGGAAATTTAATTTATGCTCCCATTCTTGGGAGTGAAGTTCCTTCTAACTGCCAGACACCATGCACATTTGTTATAATTAGCCTGCATATGGTACTGTGTCCTTAGGACATCGCTGGTGTTTTGTATGCTTGACTTCACCATGCCTATTTGATATTAAACACACAGTTTTCCATCATGCACACTCGACTGATGTAGTTTTGACTGTGGTAACTCATCAGCAGCAACCAGTAAACTGCCTAGGATGTTATCCAAGGGCAGACTGCTCTCCCAGTGATGAATGATTTGCCCTTTCTTGCTTGCCACACGTCACACAGATTTATGCCACATTGCCAGCATATGCAATGAGAGAGCTCGTTCTTCTCAAAGGTGGATTTGTAAAATAGAAAGCATTTTTACATTGTATTTTTGGAATAATTTCACACACAAAAGTCCTCACCCGGAGGTTTATGATATGTAAGCACAACTGTTTTTTCAATAAACTGAACGCAGTTTCAGTTTTCTTCAATCATCTCGTTACTGAAGGGGATTTCAACAGACTGGTATTGAGTGGAGCATGCTCTTAAACAGATTTATTAAAAAGAGTAGCCACAAGTACAACAACATAAATACACCACAGCTCTCAGTTATAGTGGCATAAATCTAGAGAAACAGCACTGGAGTGACTGGATTTACTCTGAATTTATGCTGGTGTAATTGAGAGCATAATTTAGTGCATTGTACAATCTATCTACCTACCTACCTACCTATCTTTTCTTTTATCCTTTGGATAACTACAGACCTTTTAAATTATACACATTCATATAAGGCCTGATCCAAAATACAGTGAAGTCAATGAAAAGACTACCATTTACTTCAACAGGATTTGGATCAGGCCTATATTACACACATTCTGCCTATGTTTTAACCAATTAGGATATTATAAAAAGCCTAATTTGCCAAAATAAGATGAAATCTGAAAAAAAATCCACCCACATAGTTCGTTGATAATTTTAAGAAAAGGCCATTCTGTTTGCATGGATGCCAGAAGTCAAATTTCTGACTTGAATTCTAATTTTTAAATAAGTAGTTATGCCAGCTAGCACAACTACTGCCCAAATTCTATTAGTGGTAGCAACATAACCAGGTCTTAACCAAATCACTGAATAACCTTAAATGTATTAAAAACATTTTGTGACAAAATACGTGCTAAACTTTACAGATGAAATGCATTTATGTAAATTGAAAATAGCTTCCATTAAACACTAAAATCAAGGAAAAAATAAATACATTTGCTGACTTATAATTACACAAAATGTGTTTTGTGTAATATTGAGCTGTAGCTTATAGAGAAAGATATCATGAGACTTCAATTTCAAAACCTCTTAAGTTTGAATTTGCCAGATAATAAAATCACTGAACAGATTGAATAGAAATTTCTTTGTATAATAAGAATCACTCCCACACTCAGAGGGACTTATTCCTGTGCTGATTTAGAACCCAGTTCAGGAATGCATCCTAGTTCAAGAAAGCACTTCAGCACATACTTAACACTAAGCATGTGCTTAAGGCACACTGAAGCAAATGGTTAAATAATTAAAGTTAAGTACTCGTTTAAGTGCTTTTCTGAATAGGAATGGATCTAAGCATGTGCTTAACTGGAGTTAAACCAAGGCTTTTACAGTCCAAGCACTCCCACTGGGGTAGATCCTTAGCTGGTGGTGTAAATTGTTATGGCTCTATTGGCTACATCAGCTGAGAATCAGCTCCAATGACTTCAGTAGGATTGCTAGGGTGTAAATCAGCACAGAAATGGGATTTATGGGCTAAATTAAGTCTTGGTTGAACTCCACTGATTTCACTTGGAGTCACATCAAGGATGAACGGACAGTATCTTACAGAAAAAAAGAGAGTGATATCTTAAAGTCGGATTGCTGCACGATTACTATCAGGGGATAACATCTTGCACCACATATGTTCCCATTGCCTTCAGTAGGGCTATTTGCAGTGTGAGATACTATTCATTATGAGTACGGGATCATAATCTGGCCCTCACAGAGCTGTGTTGCAACCAGTGTGACTTTGTTTTTTTACTGAACAATTAGAAGCATTCTTCAGAAAGATTAAACAAAGTCAGCCTTCGTGTCCCTGCAACATCCATTTCCTAAACCAGAAATGAAATCACAACCTGAAATTAAACAAAATAGATTTCTATTTCCTTTATAATGAATGTGGTTGCTACGGTGACGCAGGTGAATGGCACTAGACTGACAGCCCTGAATACTACAGGCTTCTTTCTATTTGTGCACATAACAGGTATGAGATGGGTAGCAACAGTGCAGACTTCCACAAAATTGCCTTATCAATGTGCTACCAGTCCTGACCTAGACAAATCACTTCTAAGGCACAAGTAGTTCAGTCTCCAGGATGGCTCATTCACTCCTTGACTGATCGCCTACAATGGTGCTAATTAGTGCCAGCTGTGACAGTGCAATATTGACACCTGTCTGCTGGGAACTCAACTGGGAACCCAAATAAGTGTATCCAGGCAATTACTCAGTTATCAGATGGTAACAGCTTTTGGTCATGAGTGACTTAGGTTATAATTGAAGTGACTAATACATACACAAATGAAGTACATGAATGTGTGGTGAATGGAATTATATCAGAGATGATATAGTTTGGTTTGAGGGCTGTAATACTTTGGGGTAATTCTTGTTATTGGTGTCAGGAATCAGGGCCTACAGCAGAGGTTTTCTCCAGGCAGTCTCATCAGTACAGCGGGCCTGCAGCAAGCTGCCTGTCTGGCCACACCACCTGACTGGTTGAAAGGGAAAGCAGGCCAGCTCTTAACCTAGTGGCAGCAGCAGCTCGCTGGCTGCTCAATGCTCATGCCTGCCATTGTGCCTGCTTTTCAATGCTCCTGCATTGCACCCAGCCTCGTCTCTGCCCTGCCCCCGCCTTGAAGCCCTCCTTGCCTGTTACCTTGCTTGCTCTGATTCCTAAGTTTTGGCTTGACCTGTAGCTTTGACTTCTGACTCCAGCTCGACCCTTGGCTCTGGTATCCAGTCCCTGCCCTCCAGTTTGACCCTTGTCTCTGGCTTCTGAACAGTGACTCCGGCTTGACCCTGGGCTCTAGCTTCCAACTACTGACGACCATTATGCCTGACACCCACTCTGACCACTAGGGTAGACCACCCTTGTCCTGGTCAGGTGACAACTGGGCTTGGTGTGAAGGTGGTTGAATGCTATTTAGTGGCCTCAGATATACAGAAGGTCACACTAACTAGATGTTCTGGAGGGGGTGTGGGGGTTGGCCTTAAATGCCATAATTTGAACCCTGCGCCAAGATTTTCCAAAAGTGACTAGTGATCTTTGTCCAAATTAAGACATCTTAAAGGGCCTGATTTTCAGAGGGTAAATGCACAGAAACTTGTGAAAATCAGACCCCTTTAAGGTGTCTCAAATTGGGCACCCAAAAATATCACTAGTCATTTTGGAAAATCTTGGCCCTTGTGTTAAGCTTTAATTTCTTTCAGAGATGTCATCTCACCTCAACGGCAGAGTTATAATCAAAATGGAAAAATGGAATGAAGACCAATGCATGTGAATTAACAATTGTAGCTTACTAACAGCTCTTGTCCTTTCGGTAACACAAATATACAAGTAGTATTCTCTAAACATATAACTCTTTCCTGAAGGACATGCATTGTTAATGGAGCCTAAAGACAATTTAGATGAGCTACAAAATCACTGAGAATACAACATGACTTTTAGAGAGCTCGTATGAACTTATAAAAATGAAAACCTTGTTGAAAACAAATATTCTTATAGTGAAATCAGGTTAATCGAGGCCTGGTTTAGCCATGTGTGTCAGAGTAGAGCTTTGGTAAGAAGCAAGTTGTTACCAGTCCCATTAAGAGTACATTTGCCTGACAGACTTGTTAGCCTAAAGATCTCTGAGCCAAATAAAAAATTATCGTCAAAACTGTAAACGCTTAGTTTGTGGCTTCATTATCTAAACTTTCAGCTAAGTTCTTATTGCAGCACTAGTGATCATGTTCAATAAGAGGCAGTGATAACTGTTGATTTTCAAAAAGTCCCATACTGAGTTTGCAGCTCCGTCAGTAAGAACAATCAGCTTTTGACTGGTAAACTGAACAAACTTGATGTAGAATTCAGTGAGAGGAAACAAAATTCAATGCAATTTTTATTGAGTATAACTGTCCTTTATTGAAATAAGAAACAGTTGTCTCCAAAGAGCAATTACTGTCCCTTACTTTGCCATCCTCCCAATATTCTGCATTCCCTGCAAAACAGGTATGAAAAGAATTTTCAACTAACCCCTATTATTCTGGATCCTCAAGAGGTTGTGGTTCTTTGGCTTTGGAAGCAAATGATTTTTCTTAGATACACATGGACCTCACACTGGGAGACCGAGGTAATATTTTAAAAATATTTTAAAGATCTCATCCATTTAATCTCTGATCCATTGTTTGTAATCCAGAGAAGTTGTTTCTACTCTCCTGCAGGTTGGGAGTTCCAAACAAACACAGTGAGTTTTTCCCAGACCAATCCACTAGGCTCCTGTCTGTGCTCTGCTCTGGATCACACCTCCCATGCCTTCTACTCCCGCCTGTGCTCTGCTCCACATCCTGTACCTCCCAGGCCATAGTCCTCTGATATTTCCGTGAAGAAAAAAAAGTTGCATTTTACTGATTTACTTTGGGCAATTTTACCACATCACCAAGCCAAGGACTAATAGGCAAAGCACAGGGCCAGCCATACTGTGAGTAGATGCTGTGCAAGCTTCCACATATGGTTCACCCAATGCACCTGGTTTCCTATCTTGCAACATTCTCTCTTAGTTGCTGCTGAGCTTCTGTTAACCGGAGCCCGCCGAATGATGCTGACTATTGCGAAAATGTATCTTGGGGCGAAATGTTTACAAGAGAATGGGAGGAGACCAAGAAAATCAGTTTTATTTGTATCCTGAGCAGTCCTTCTTATCTTAATTAAAGGGGGTGGGGGAATTGCTCTGTGTACCTTTCAAGGCATGTGAGAAGACTTAAGCATCTTACAAATAATTATCGCCTCTGGGACAGTAGGCAGAGATTAATCTGAATGATTATTTTCCCCAGGTGAGAATGCAAAAATCAGGATTTTACAGTACTCACTGGAAACTTGAACCTTTTGCTGAGACGCAGGGTATAAGATACAAAGCAACTTCTCTACTAATATGCTTCAAGACTGCCATTTAGGAGCACACGCCAGGGAGGTTTTTACAACCAAGTGCTTATCTTAACTTCCAAGTGGACATTGCAAGTAAAATTCCAACAACTTATGCCCTGTTCATACTGAAAACAACGTACATTCCAATACTTCTTTGAAGGAAGACTATCCACAGTTACCTGACTAGGACTCTGTTCACAGATGATGTGTTTTCTTTTGTATTTTTGTAAATGGATGATTATTAAGCAAATTGTCCTGCTCACCTGAAGCCTGGACTTCCATGATGTACTGGTGTAAATCTTGCCCTTGCTGGATAACCTCAAAGGTCATGTTGTTCATGGCCAGTTTTCGTTCGGTGTGGCGCTGCAAGCGCTGCTCAGCCAGAGTGAGGTCCTCGGTATTGAAATCATTCATTTGTCTCAGCAAATCTTCATTCCAGGCATCTAACTCTGCTGTTACCTTCAAAGGAAAAAAGCCACATATTGTATGCACTGGAAGCCAACAAAAGATTACTTCAAAACAGCATTTGGATCATCATAATACTCCACACTTAGGGTCTGATTCTAAGCCCCTTGAAATCAAGGGGAGTCTTCCTGTTGACTTCCATGGGTTTGGAACAGGTCCTTGCATGGCACTTTTCTTCTGTGGATCTCAAAGCTTTGACAAAGGTGGGTGAGTACTGTTACACCATTTACAGGCTGGGAAAATACAGCACAGAAGTGGCTTGTTCAACATCACAGCAAGTCAGTAGCAGAGTTGGTAGAGAACCACAGTTCTCAGCTCTAACCTCTACACCAATATCTAGCAGTAATTTGCAGAGGTTGGCTAACTTTGCTTCCTTTGTTACGTGTTCTCTGTTTCTTCATTATAACAATTGGCCTGATTAATCTAACAGTCCCATTATTATTATTTTTACTGTGTTATCGCCCAATAGTACCCAGACAGTAAACGGGTCCAGTAGCATTAGCCTCTGTAGAATCACACTTGAAACTAGATACAAACAGGTGGAAATGAAGCAATAGGAGGAAATGAAGAACAGGGGACAAAGGTAACGATAACCAAATCTTGCTGTTAAGTTAGACATCTAAATCCATATTTAGGCACCAACGTGAAAGATGCCCAATTTTCATAGATGCTGAGCCCCAGTTCTCACTGAAATCAATGGGATTTGTGGTTTCCTAAATATATATTTAGGTGCTTAACTTTAGAAACCCACTTTTGAAAATTTTGGCGTCTTATCCCACGGTCACAAAGCAAACCAAGGGCACAGAACCAAGGATTTCTGGCTCCAAATCCTTTACATGTTGTTTTGGATGGGAATTTAAAAGACACAGTTTTAAATTCAAAATGAGAACACAAGCCCATAAACCTTTTTTAGACTCTTCTTTGAAACAAGCGGAAACACAGATTTGTTCACCCCGAACAATCTGTGACCATTTTACAAACCTGGGACTGAAGTCGCAGGGTGAAAGGCAGAGCATAGGAGATCCTGAGGGCTTTCCATTTTTATTCTGATTATTCCTATGTCCATTCCACTCAATTAACTTTAAATAATAACTATCTCTGTTTACAGTCCCTTTGGTGCCCTTCCTGATTCCAGTGGCCTATGATTCACTCACACTTCTCAGTTAATTGGAGTCTCTGGAATGTGGTGGCTTATTGGCAGATTTTCTGTTCTAACAATTACCAAGCCCTAGAGAAATGGTCATGGTGGAAATCAGAGAAGGAGCTCGGTAGAAAATTAGAAAGGGTTTTAAAGAGAGAGCCTCTGCTGATAGCTAGAAGGACTAAGGCCGACTTGACCTCATTTTAAGCTATAGACAGCATAATGAACATCTACAGTTTAAAGTGAGAATAGATTTCCACTATTAATGACTATGGTACTTGAGGTTCCATATGAAACCTGTTTTGCTTGCATGTGCTGGTAGAATGGCATATAAATTTACTGGATCAGAAGGAGGTTTAATTTTTATTTGTTATTAAGAATATTGCCTGTCATAGTTCATTGCATTGACTGTCAGGCTGCTAAAACATAGTCATTTGAAAATTTATAATGGAGTTAATCAGAGTACTGCCCAATTTCCCGTAGATGTGAATACATTCTTGTCCACCTGCATTGGGGAAACCACCTAAATGCACTTATGAATAATAGTTACAGAGGGGAATCAGAAATCCAATAATATGTCACATCTGATTTCTCTTACAAATTCCATATTTAGGATAGTGGAGATTCTGTTCTACTATGGAGAAAGTATCTCTCCATCCTGTAGCTGTCTATGCACAGTATCGAATGCAGTGTTGTTGTAGGCATGTTGATCTCAGGATATTAGAGGGATACAGTGTGAAAGGTAATATCTCTTTGTGATGGGGTTCCTGGGGTGCAACCTTGACTGTGGGACTGCTGAGCCCTCTGTCCCACCAAGCTGGGGTGTCTCTCTCACTCTGTGGTGCTGTTGCCAAGGCACAAATGTGTAACAGGTCCTACACTTACACAGACATCCACAGGCAGGGACATCCCCAGCTCCCCAGCCTTGCACCCCAGAACTGTACCGTCTTGCCCTGGTCAGAAGCCCGATCAGTGTAAGTTCATTACCCAGTCTGCCTCGATGTGGATAGGAGACACACTCGCCTTTGTAAACTGAGCTGAAATTTCCCAAGCACCCCAACCAAAACACACTGGTTTAGGTAAAATATAATATAGATAGATTTTAAGTGATTATAAGTAGTAAGTTTAGAGATCAAAGTTGGTTACCTAAGAAATACAATTAAATTCACAAATTGAGTTCTATAAACTAAATAGGATTTGAATCAAGCAATGTCTCACTCTTAGAGATGATACAAACAGGTCACAGATCTTCAATACATAGGCTGGACCTGACTTCCAGCCCGGTACCACCCTCCCACAGTTCAAAGTCTTTGTCCTCTAGACGTGTTTCCAGGTGTTGAGTTGTGGGGGTGGAGGGAGTGAGGCCAAGTCATGATGTTACTTGACCTCTTTATAGTTTCTTACAGCTTGCTGGAAAGATCTTTTGCTATGACAAGTTAGTCTCCATTGTATATGTGCTCTCTCTGAGATGGTGGTTGGGAGAGTGGATTCCCTTCAATGGGCCATCCGTGCGTCTGGCTACTCCATTGTTGTACCTGAAAGGCTGATTGTGGGTGTTCTCAACCTCACAACAAATTTCAGTAACACATACATAACAAAACTTCACGTACAATGATAGCACATACAATCTCACTGGTCATTAGTGTTCAACAGATCAAGGCTGTTAAAATGATACCTCACAAGGCAAACTTTGTACAAAACATATCATAATTATATGACTGTGGTGAATATGGGGGTTTCAGAGTACTGCTTTGAGGTACAGAGTGCCTCTGGAGACAAGCTTTTATTAGAGACAAGCTTTCAAGCTTACACAAAGCTCTTCTTCCAAGCTCTGCGTAAGCTTGAAAGCTTGTCTTTCACCAACAGACACTGGTCCAATAAAATATATTACCTCACCCACTTTGTCTCTAATATTCTTCCAGGGCAAGAAAAAAAATCTATGTAGGTCTCTCTCAGGGTTAATCTGTCAAATAAGATGGAATATGCTACACTGAACAGGGAAACAGTAGACGAGTGGCCAGGGTAGAGTCAAGGTGAGGAGTGAGGGAAGATCATATAGAGGCAATGAAGGAGCTGGGCAGAGCCTGGATGTGAAGACAGGGAGTACATGGAAAGAGGCGGTGGTGAAGGTCTAATATGGCCAGTGTACAGGGAGAGGAAGATTGCTTTAGTAGTTGGCTAGACTGAAGAGAGGAGAGTCAGGGAGGCTGGTGAGGAGGTGTTTACAGCAGTCCAGGGGAGACAGAACCATGGCATGACCCAGGGTTTTGGCAGTGGAAATGGAGAGCAAGCAGATCTCAGCTCCAGCACTCAGTTCACCAATGGAGTTTAGAGCATATCAGCAGAGCAGATCATAGAATGACATCTATTTAGTGGACCTAAGAGCAGAATGTTGCCTGCAGACTGATGTGGATGGGAAGAGCAGGAAGGGAGAATGAAGCTGTCACTTTTATAAATCCTACATTTGCAGAAAGCTCCCCGTTCCTGTCTCTCAGACAGCAAGACAGGCTTTAGTGTGGGGTGGCTCTGAAGATATCACAATACATTCCCCGTTTTTGATAATACGCAGAGATGCCACAGTGGATGGGTTGATAGTGGGCCACTGAGGTATACGAAGGATGTCATTGCAATGATTATGCCCTGATGCTTTTGGATTCTGAATCCCAACAATATCCATAAAAAAACCTGAATATACCTCTAAAAGACACTGTATGAGAAACAGCTTGGAGCCTCACTTTCCAGGTGAAAACTTAAGGACATCCAATATGATACATGTGAAAAAATAAAAGATCTACATGTAGGAGTGGCTGGAATTTTTTTTTGGATGCCTATTATTTAATTCATATTTTATGAGCCAAGATCTCTGGAACCTGATTTTGAACAAAGAATCCTCATATTTGATTAAATCTACAGATCTATCTGTACAAAGCCATAAAAATCCTGTATCTCTGAGCAGACAGCTAATTCACTTGAAAGACTCTGGTAATGTTATAAACTCGGAAAGCGACACTCACATGAGTTATAAATAACAGTGAAGTGAGTTACTGCCTGAGAGATTACTTCTGTTCCTTTCCAAATTCATGTTAAGCCAGAAGAGCCAAGAAGTGAAATAAAAGCTGCAAGATTTGATAGGAGGAAAAATAGAGCCAAAGAAATGGTAATGGTGGAAAACGGAATTCAGCATATAGCAGACTTTAGTGACCCATGGACCTTTCAGAGGATAAGACAAGAATAAAGAACCAAATTCTGTCCTGTCCACAGTGGGCATCTGCTGTGAATCTCCAAGGGCAGAAACTGACCTTAAAAGAACATTGATTGCACGCGACTGTAAAATCCGCACAGAACGGATTCTGGGTGGTGCTGTGCAGACACACACCAGGAAAGCGGGTGGCAGAATCACTGGGAAGAATCTGGCAGCTACTTTACAGGACCACCTGCAAAGTCTTGGAGAAGCTTCCCTGCAGAGAGAGGCCTATGGGATCAGTAGAGTGGTCAGAGGCATGTACTATCCCTGACCTGGCAATGGTGTCTATGCACACACACTTGTTCAGATTATTCCTGCTTTTAGTGGTAAATGATTGTGGAAGGCCAAATCACAATTGGAGTTGCAGCTAGCAAGAGATGTTAAGAGTAACAAGAAGGGTTTCTACAGGTATGTTAGCAACAAGAAGGTGGTCAAGGAAAGTGTGGGCCCCTTACTGGATGGGGGAGGCAACCTAGTGACAGAGGATGTGGAAAAAGCTAATGTACTCAATGCTTTTTTTGCCTCTGTTTTCATAAACAAGGTCAGCTCCCAGACTACTGCACTGGGCAGAACAGTATGGGGAGGAGGTGACCAGCCCACTGTGGAGAA